GAATCTGAGTCCACAAAAGCAAAGCAAAGTCAAATCCTGCTTGTGTGCACCCATCAGGAGGAAGCCCTCAGAGATGTGTAGTACAAAACTTAATGAAGGTGTAACCATGAAGGCCCAAATCCTTTGTGGACTGAATTCGCATTAATTGTAGCATCACTCACTACTGGAATTGAGTAAGTACAATAATTACCTATAACACCAGAATGATCTCTAGGTGTGTACAGAATCACGTAGTTCCATTTGTCTTCCTCTTTCCAAGAAGATGAGGTAGGCAGAAAATAATCTACAGACAGAAAACAGTGAGAAGAAGTCAGAACCAGGAACTGAAAAAAACCTTGAGAACAGACTGCCTACTCTATTCAGTCAGAACTTTCAGTTGTCCCTGAGTTCATAACTTGAAAGAAAGGAGATTAAAGTGTGCCACTGAGCAACTGTCTCCTCAGATCCTTCCACAACTTACACATTACATATACAACAAACTGTTCAAAGAAAGAGGGGGAGAGTATGAAATCTGAATACATAAGCTCTCAAGAAACACTGCATTACAAAATTATTATTTTTTTTAAATAACCTTAGTACATTTTCACTACTTTGCCTAGCTGTAGCTCCAGGAAGAATCCAGCCTGCTGAGACAGCATGCATCCACTTTTTGAATCAAAGTGACCACAGTCACTTTAAGAAGAAAGAAAACAGCCCTGTAAGGCACCTGCGTGCATAATGTGATATCTCATATCTGACCTACAACAGCTTGATCTCTCCTACCAGCTGCAAGGACCTTCCAGCTATGAGAACAGTAACAAGAACTCACCTGGAGCCCATATACTCATCACTCCTACATGGCTGCATTTGTTAAGGCCATGCAGCCAATTAATACACATATTTATCATCTCAAGTTGCTTTGTTGGTTATTTTGAATGGAAGTTTATCAACAATTTTGTTCCCACAGAAAAAAAGCAAAAGGTGGATAGCGAGGTTTAATTAATTAATTGTTTAATTAATTAAAGAGGAATTAATGCATTCTGCCATTTAGCTGCAATAAAAGGGAAATCTAGCCGATAAAGAGGAGGCAAACCTTCACCTTGTGTTTTGTAAAGGAAACACAGGAATTTCCTAAAAGCTGAAAAATCTCTCGTTACTGGGTGATGTTCTGCCCGTTTAGGTCATCTCCCTTAGCACAACTTGAAATGCTGAACTACATCAATACTAACATGGAGTATCAGAACCACTGATACTGGTGATCTAGAGTAAAACGGTACAGCTTCATCCAGTGTGTGTCACCAGTTAGCAACAGTTTGCAATTAGCTTGAACCATAACAGTTTAAGGCAAGATTTTTTTCAATCTCTGTGGATTTCCTTCTTACTTTATATTCATATTCAGTGCCTTTCTAACACAACGCTTTAAAATCTACATGCTGGCTGGCTTCAGCAGCAGACCTGCCCTTCCAAAGGACATCCTCAAAGGACATGACGCTGATGATGCTGAAGGGCAGCAGAGGAAAGCACTGCCTCAGCTGAGGGCTACTGCCATCAGTTTGGGTCTGTCCTGCATCGTGCCGCTCAGCATTGTTCAGCGAGCAGAAAACAGGAAAAGCGTTAAGTTGGAAACGTGATCTCCACTAAGAGGAATGCATCTCTGAAGTTCAAGCTTTGTTGTTCCTTTTTTCTTTTTTTGCTTTGTTTTCTTTTTGTGTTTTTAAAAAGTCTTTATCTGCGTGCATCTCCCGGAGTTCTGCTGCAAAAACACCTTCACAAGAACGGAAAGCACAGTTCCGGGAAAGATCACTGAACACGTCTTGTGACCCGTTTTCCAACGTGACGCATCCCCACAACACAAAGCGTTTGTCTCCTTAAAAGCTGCCGACCTGACCGCGAGTTCAAGCTTTTTATTCCTACCCACGCTCGTAACAAGACCCGAGCGACGGCTCTTACTGAAAATAACACTTCGATTTCTTCGCTGTTTCTTCGGACGGCGGGAAGTTGGAGCAGCAGCGGGCTGACAACCGCTCCGCCCCTAACGGTGCCAGCCGGGGCGCCCGCCCGGGGCACAGCGCGAGGCACCGCCACCCGCCCGCGCGCCGCCGCCCTCCCTCCCTGCTCAGCCGCGGGAGCCGCCCCCCGAGCCCTCCTCCTCCGCGCTCTCTCCTCCCTCAGCCGGCAGCCCCAGCCCCCTCTCCTCGCCGTGCAGCTCCCGCCGCCCTCTCACCTCTCGCGGTCCGGGAGGGGCCAGGAGAGAGAGAAGAAAGGAGGGAGAAAAAAAATAAATAAATAAAAAAATCACAAGGGAGGCCCCGGCACCCCCCGCCCTCCCGCTGCCGCTCTGCGCCGGGAAAGGCAGCGGGAAACGGGAGGCCGCTCCCCGTTGCTAACGGGTCCCCATGGGCCCCGCCGCCGGCCCCTCCCCGCGGGCGCTCTCCGGCGGCTGCGGCCCCGGGGCCGGCCGCGCACGCGAGGGGAGGGGCGGGGCGGACCCGCGGCAGGGGCGGGGCTTTTCGCCACGCCCACTTCGCTCCGCCGGCCCCGCCCCCCGGCCTGAGCGGGTGGCCCGCGCGCCGCCCCAGCCAGCGGCCCCGCTTCCGGGCTGCTCCCCTCGGCGCCGCGCGCCCCCTGTCGGCTGGGCGGCGAAGGGAGGCGCTGGTCCGCCTGTGCAGTGCTCCTTAATTAACGCGGGTGCGGACCTCGTTCTGCGCGCTGTGTACCCTTGTCTGCATTTTGACACCGCGAAGCGAATTATTTCTCTCGTTCTCCCCGTCCTCCATTTAGTTGAAATAAATCAGCAGTGACACAAGGCACAACATTTAACCTCCTCTCGTGGCACCGCGTGGGGCTGTGGCAGCCTGTGCTCACCCTTTCACAGGCGCACCCTGACCTCTGCCACACTCCTCATAGCACCTTACCGCTGACTTCTGCCACCCAAAGGTAGAATAATTTTCCAAATTAATAGACTGTGTGACAAGTCAGATGTGCCTCTGACTGATAAAGCTGATTTAAGGGTGTGCGAGATCATCGGTGAAGCGTGGTGGGACGTGTTTGAAGCAGATGTATGTCGGGCTTTCACTGCCTAATTTGTAAGGACATGCAGCCTGCTCGGCTGAGTGCTCCGTCTGCCTGTGGTCCTCATGACTGACTCTGAAAGGTTTACTCAGTTTTCACTAAATTTCACTGAGAAGTAGTGTTTGCAAAGACACTAATTGCTTCAAGCTGTGGAAAAATTATTAACTAGGTGGACAGAAGTGTGTCTCCGAGCAGGAAAACTCCCGCTTTTCACTGCAGTCAGTGGTCAGTCCAGGCAGACACCCATTTACACACACACAGCTGTCTCAGGGTAATCATGTGTAGGCGTAGGATGTCCTTGGGGTGCAGGGACAGGTCCTGTGCCGTTCTCCTGAACTGGAGACTGAGCTAAAACGTGCCTGGAAAAAGTCTGAGTGCCTTAGAAAAGGATAGACATGCATATTACTTGCCAAAGTCCTCCTGCAGTTTCTGAAAGACTTCTTCATTCCGTCTGGGCGAAAGGGGTGAGTAAACACCAGCAAAACCTAGGAAAGTATAAGTAATATGGGAGATATTTCAGGCGCAGCACAGTCTCTCACAATGTAGAGCTAATATGCTAAGATGGCATATAAATGGTGCTGCGGTTAAAGTTTATATTTTAAAGTCATACTGGTGACTTTCTGTATCATTGCAGAATGGGGCTCTGGGTGATGATCCAGCTGTAGCTGTTCCTGTCCATTGCAGAGGAGTTGGACTGGATGGCTTTTAAAGGTCCTTTCCAACTCAGATGTATTACGTATTATTATAATGATTGCTACTTAAGTTACACCCTGGTGTCCAAATAAAATTAGTTCATTTTGCTTTCTTTTAATTGATTTCATCACATAAAATTGCTACATTTAAAATTTTTGTGTTAACAAATTTGTATTCATTAAAGCTTCATCAAAAGTCTTTCTATAGTGGGTTAAATTCCACCTGGCCTTACTCAACTTCTGAGGCCACTAGATAACATTCAGGGCATTTCAGGTTCATGGGATATTTCTTATTTTAACTTCAATGGCATTGCTTCTTTTTGTCAGTACTCACTATTTAATGGGTTGTAGGAAAAATTCTGCAGGAATTAGGAAAAATAGAAAGCAACTACATTAATTAATTCTCTCATACTTTAGGTGCTCTACATTTGAGAAAAATTGTATTTACATATGCATTATCCAGTATACTTTTATACAGAACATTCCAGAAATATTCTTTGCAGTCTCATCTGGATTTCACTTTTCTAACTGGAAAGTTTAGCTGTAAAACTATGACTACTAAATATAGAAATAGTAATGGCTCTTTCCAGACTTTCCATGATGTAAAAGTTAATAGCATGCTGAAGACACGGTACAGATTTGCAACACATCTGCTGTCCTTTGAGAATAGAGCAGCAGTGATGCTATGAACATCTCATCCTCAGTTCATTGGACTTAAAACATTGCTTATTTACCATATCAGAAACTTGAAGTTGTAATGATTGAATCACCGATCTATCGAAGTCTTAAAGATACAGTATTACACGAAGTTAAATATCATATGCACACATCCTGGCTCCAGTGCACATGTATATAAATGAAACAATAAAATCTACATATCTGACTCATCTGACTTATTTTTTAGTGAAGTTCTGACTTTTTTTTTTTTTTTAATCTTCTTGGCCAAAGGATAACAAAATTTCTTCACAAAGACGATTATATTATTGTTCAGAAGGTATATGAAAATGGCCATTAGGGGGTGATGTTCCTAAAACAAAATTGCCCCACATGAATGAAATGTTTTCTATGCGTGAGTTTTCTTGTATTTTCATCCTGATACATTAATTTTATCTTCACTGTTCCACTTGAATCATTCTCAGACATGCCAACGTAAGGACAGAACTACTCTCTCTACAACTTAATGTAACAAGGAGTAAAAGAAAAAGTCATATTAGAAAAAGGAAATGGATAGATGTTGTTTTGCATAAAGCCCACACCACACTGAAAGCTAAACCAGGAAGGAAGTTGCCACCACTGTGCTAAATGGGAGTGCTACAGTGGCATGTGCTTGATTTTGAGAAAATCAGAACTCTTCAGGTTAGCACTAGGAGTTCTCACCATGTTTATTTTATGTTTACCTGAGTTTTTCAAAGTCCATGAAGGTGAGTGATCAGCTTTTAATGGACCCCTTGCTTGTTCTGAAGTCTAATTGCAATTGAAAAGTTGGCATGTGCTTTCCTGAAAGTGATAGTTACGATGCTATACTCGTATAAACTGTGTAAGTTGTATATATAGATTGTTTTCTTCAGATTTTTAACAAAGTTAAACAGAATTAATTATATATAGTAATTTGAAAATAGTTTGCTGTTTGTTCATGTACATTGCAAAATTTCTGGTAACTATATGCATTTAACTGTACTTTTTACTTGCTTCCTCATGAAGTTAGTAGTTGAAAGGTGTATGTTAAGTAGCAGCTACCTATGTCTTTAAAAAATAAGTTTTTTTTTTTTAAATCTCTCAACACAAATGGCTATAAATCTTCATAGGTTAGTATCTGGTATGAGACATAACCTATGAAGGATATAAGCAGAGGTACCATGATAAAAAAGTAGCGCAGAATTGGTATTATAACTCAATAAAGCAAATCTATTTACAGAAATCCCAAATACATATTGGTGATCCTAAAGGTCAATAATGTATTTAAGATGAATACAAAATATATGAGTGCAACTAATGCATTCAGCGCTTTCTTAAAAAAATCATAAATAAATTAATATTAAAATAGCTTTGTCACAGCTGTTCCTATGTAAGTTTTTGTATAAGATAAATCTTATAATAAAAAGAATCCCCTTGACAGCTGGTGTGTTCCTAGACCTTACTACATTATTTATGAAGCAATTTCTTTATGAAGTAATTTTCTGCAAACAAATTAATACCAAATATACCAAGATTCGTTTACTTACATTTACATTTTTATATTGATTCACCAAAACCAGCCACTGTGACAATGGCTAGAATATAATTTACAGATTTTCATAGATAATAAACCAACAAACTATCGTAAGTTTCAAACATTATGAAAACAATCATTCATTTTAAGATGTGGGAATAATGCATGTTTTACCTCCACACAGAAGTGATCAAAGGACTTACAAGCACAGACAACGCAAATAAACAATGCCATGAATATCAGCAGAAGAAAACATTGATGTTACTGTCAAACATGCAAGAGTAATTGCATTTTTCCACTGTAATTGTCCTAGATTGTTCTTCTTGGAGTTGCTTCATGCTGCAATAACATGATTGTTAGAATTCTGAAATTTATGTATGGTCTTAATCACATTATGTATGAAATGAATATGAGCAGCGTGCTGCTGCACAGAATTGTATTTGGAAGATTAGAATCATAGTCATATTTTGGATGTTCTAAAAATTGTAGAATAATAAAAGACTGTGCAACAATGTCTGAATTATGTGAGAAAGTAAATACACTGAACAATTTAATATGAAAATTTCAAGGAATTTGGTGTTTGTATCACTGAAAACCTTCTGGGAACTGTTTTTAATCCAAAGTGTGTAGCAAGCTTAAAATGTACAGAATTACTTTCTCGTAGGTGTTTCAAATTGCTGGCTTCCATAGGAGGCTGTGAACATTACTTCCCCACAAAAATTTGTTACTGGAAATCTTCACTGACATGTAAAAAGTAGCCACTGTGCCTTCTATGGTCGGCTCCTAAATGACTGGTTGAGACCTGGTTCCACAGGCTTGTCTAAGATCACATTAACACTGCAGGTACTTCAGGTTTTTAATATAATGTAAGTGAAACTTTGAATTTTTTTACCCTAGGAAAAGTTCTAGCATTTATTTTACTCCAGAGTGGGAATAAAATTGAAGATTATGCCTTCTCTGTGGGAGAAATCTAACCCAAGCCATTAAAAACTTATCAAAAGAAAACAGTTCAGTATCACCAAAACTGAAACTTGTTTCCTACAAATTTGTAAAGCATCTATTTGGCTGAAAGTCTCTGAAGCTTTACACTACCTTGGTTTAGAACAAGATACTGTTGTTGTTTTGGAGCTTGATGCTCTCAATTCTGGTCTTGTCCTCTAGGTCTGGCTATTTGATGGACCGTGTCCCCTATAAATCTATCATTGTGTACTCCCCATGTTGTGCTGTAGGCCTCTGATGTATTATGTGTTTGCTACTATTTCTGCAAAGAAGTGATAAAAATGTGATTTTGTATACTGCTGAATTGATTTGAAACTGAGTATCATAGATCAAAAGAAGAAAAAAAACCAGTCAAGCTAATCCAAAATGAAATATTTATTATTTTCTTAAAGGCAAATAAGTTTTTTTACAAATTCAGATTTTCCCTATGAATAATTTCATTTTAATAGAATTGAATTTTCAGTAGAAAACAAAACATACAAGTAAATAGAGGCTTAGTAAAGGATTTAATAACCAGAGAACTTCTTAATATTAAATCTGTGGGTTACAGATTTTTCTCAGAGGATGTTAAGTACCCTCCCAAACAGGACAGCATTCAAACTTTTCCAATCATTTAGCATACTCCTTAAGCTCTGTAAATTGGCTAGCATTAGGCAGTTCTTGAGCCTGTTTGGTCACGTGGAGCATGAGATGCAAAATGGAGTTCATGGTGCTGTGCACAGACCCCCCTGACCACAGTCAGCAGACTCCCAGGGCTGTGTACAAACTTGGTGAAAGGGGCCTGGTGGGGAACTGCCATTTGCTGACCTTGAAAACTGTGGCAGTAATCTTTGACCAGTTCCCCACATGCATGTATGCCTTACCAGGAAGGTAAACATTTTCTCTGATGCTGGCTCATCTGACTGGAAGATGGCTGCCCAAACCACCTCCTGCAGCTGGAAGAACTGGGTCTCAAGAGCCTGCTCCACTCCAGGATGGTCAGATCAAAAGCATTTTGAGGAAAATATTTTGACTTCCCTAATGGAAAGATAAAATCTGAGATTTTTTCTTACCTGCTTATATGATATCTTACATTTCAATGTATTATGTTTTATGAGTTTATCACTTTCTGATGTAATGTTAGTAAAGTGAAGGTAACTGACTTTGGCACTGGATTTTGGATTTTTTTTTTCTGTTCCTGCCTGAAATCCTTCACCGATTTGTTTCTGAGGCCAGTCAGCTCTGATATGAGCACAGATGGCTGTTGAAAACTGTCAGATTGCAGATAAGTACTGGAGCAATCAAAGGCTGTTTTCCTATCTATATGTAAGGATTTATGAACATATCACTCATAATGAGTGTTAGATGCAGAATTTCCACATCACAGACATGCAAAGTTACTACCAGAATTGGAAGCTTAGCTACAATACTATGGGTTAGCACCACATCAACTCATGGGAGGGATTATTTGTGTTCATAAATACATATTTCATGGCGGAGTCCCAGAAGATTTTTAATCTTCAATTTCTTTCATACTGAAAAAATAGTTCAAGGTTAACTCAAGTAGAAACAGAGTTCATATAATAAAGCTTTGCTTTTATGTAGAAGACGGTTAAAATAACATGCATTAATAATTAACACTGTGGGGTTTTTTTGTTGTTGTTATTTGTTGCATTAATGTGCTTCAGCTGCAGTAATTTGGTACTGAAATACAACTAACAAAAACTGTGCATTAAGTTTAATGATTGAATAGAAAAAAAACAGGAAGGGTGGCTGGAGGATTCAGCAGTATTTCTGTGGGTTAAGTGTCATTGGAGAGAAAGTTTTCATTCTCCTAACTATTTTACAGTGTGATCACTCTGGTGGGTTGCAACTGCATGGTTGCAGGGCTGTGTTTCCTGTTTCAAACACAAGTGGGTTTCATTTTCTCTTCAAGAAATTTGAACAACTTTGAAACAAGAATGACACTAGAGATCACCACAAATGCAGCTCAGTACTGAAAGATATTCCACGTAACTCAGCAATAAAATCCAACATGTATGTTGGGAGAATATTCTCTGCTCGCTTCTCCTTGCTTGATGGTGCATGCAGTTTTCTGCCATAATCCTCAAGGAGTGCATTTCATTGTATGATGGTTAAAGGATATTTTACATGAAACTTAAATGCACTTACTTATCCCTGTACTCTAAGAGATGGTTTTGCTAATACAGTTACTCTTTCTTTTTCAGCTAACACCGTAGTTGTATCGTGCATGGATACCTGTTCATTAAATAACACCACCTTTCCACTTTGTACTTTTAATACTTCTTGCAAAAGATCGCTGCAACAAAAAAGAGAAAATCAGATTGTCTTACTGAAGACCATTGTAAATCATTCAGATTTCCAAAATATTCCATGTATTTGCCTCTCCTCAAGTAGGGAACAACAGTCAAATACTAAGTACTCAGAGTTTGAATCCAGCAGAGATGTGAACGTTGATCATCAAGAATCAAGATCAATAGATAAAAAAAGTAAGTAGGAAAAGGAAAGTACTTTATTTGGAAATAATTAATTATAGCATGAGATGCATGGCTTGGTTTGGTAGTTGAAGAAGATGATAAATATGGTGCTGGTTCTCCATTGTCTTTGCAAACTCTATCGGTACTGCTGTTGGTTTTTTTTTGGTTGGTTGGATTTTTTTTTTTTCCTTAATAGCATTCTTTGCATTGCTGCAAAACATCATTTTTTGTCATATTTGTAGCAGCAGTAATTCTTGCTTGTGAGTGCTGATTTCTTTTCTTTGAGGATCTTGTGTATGGGAGAGCATTCATTATCTTAAGGTCTGCAAGGAGTGTTGTGAGATTGTCTTGTCCAAGTATTTCTGTTGCAAATTTGACCCCTACCAGCTGGGTTTTATGAACGCATTTTGATCTCTTCTTTTTTTTTTTGCTGGATTTTATAAAATATTTATTTGTAGAGTTCTGTAGTTTCTGATGAGTTTTCTTGATAAGTTTAATTTTAAGAGTCACTGTGGATCTCTGCTTGCTGATGGCTGATATTATATGATGAAAATTTGCAATCAAGTATCTGAAGAAATAAATTGAAGATGGTAACTATTTAAATGGCAGCTATGCAGAAATTAAAAGAACTAAATAAATTTTTGTGCATATAATCTATGATGTCCATAGTTTAGTGGCATTTCTTGTTTAATAGAAGGCAGCACTGAATAAGGACAGGCCCAGCAGTATGAAACACTGAGCAACATCCACAGTCTTTCAGAGTAGTAGCAATATGTTCCTTCTGTGCCTTATGCACTTGCAGTGTATCTGAAAACATTTGGAGGAGTAGAAGCTTCTGAATTTTGCTTTGCTAACATTGCCAGCAACAGGAGCAAGAGGCCAAGACCTGAATGCGAGAAATGCAGTTCTCTTAAAACTGCATCATTTCCTTACTGAAAAATAGAGCTGTCCTTCCAAACGTGGAAAATACCAAAACAAGCAAATATGTGGACAAACTCTGTTCTCACTTATACACATACAACTCTAACACTACTGACAATGTCTCATTTACCTATATTTGTTGTTAACATTCTACAAGCCTCACAGCTTGTGGTTTGAAACGAAACAAAGGCTTTCTGCAACTAATAGCACATGAGCTGGATGTGCACTGCAGATGTCTATCACTGTACAGCTTTTATTGTTTCTTTTCTTTCATAGCTCAGTTATTTGCTTTGTTAGCTTTGACAACACATGGCAAAGCAACAACAACAACAAAAAGATTTGAAGCTAGTTATAAGATAAAAAAAAAAAGGCAATAATTGGCTGGGGAAATGTATTTTGTAAAAATAATCAGTATTCCTCATAGCTGTTCAGGATGATTGCACATTACATCCTTTTGTCCATTTTATTATAGTCAGTAATGTAAAAATGCACTATTTATTTTCTTAAATAAGACAGAGAAAATATTTTATTGCTCTGAGAGTTGTCTGTCATTGTATACTGTTATTTAACAGGGTTTTTTGTTGTTGTTGTTTTGTTTGTTTTTTGGTAAATTTGTTGTTCCTGTAGCAAAAGACTCATCTGAAGTGAACACAGAAGATGCTATTTCTTTTTATAAATATTTTAATTTCACCATGCTTCATGCAAATGAAGAAGTAGAGCACAGCACCTACTACAGTCTGGAAATCCACATCAACAACTCCATAGTCAGAGGAAGAAACGCAGCTGAATACCTAAATCACTCTTGTCTCATGGATATGATCAGTGACCAAAAGGGCTGTATGAATATTTCACTGCAACTGAAGTCTTATGTGGAATGTAAGTTACAAAGGAGATTCGGAAACAATTTGCAACTTGCAAAAAATTTGCAGTAGGTGGTTATCTGCTTTCAGCAACTATTTGTAGCTATTTCACAACAAAACAATGCAATTTTGATCATCCCTTAGTAAAAGACCATCGTAAGTAGTCAACTGACACATTTTGCTATGTTTTGTTGTTTTTTGGTGTTTTTTTTTTCCTAGAAACAAGGCAGAAAAATAAGCGTCTGTAAATGTTCATATTTTTTTTTCTCCACTTAATGATGACAGACTTACAAAATGCATGTTTGAAAGAAGCTGGAATTACATTTTTTTCTTTTTCCCTCCCCCATAATGGCATAATTCTGCTGTCTAGAAGGTAAATTAAACAATTCCAGTTAACTTTGAAGGCAGAACAACCATTAGACAAGTTTGACTTTTCATAATGTTGTGCAGCAACATTCTACTTTCAGCATTACTTAAAAAAGAAATATTCCGCTGAGCTAGGTTTAGTTTTCCCAGGGGACAGCATGACAGCTATTTAAGTTTCTCTTTGTGGTACAGGAGATTGCCTGACCACAGTCAGGCCTTCCAACCCATGTATGCTACACTTTTCATTGGGGAATTGCTAAATCATTGCATTCATTTAGTTTTTTAAGGCAAATGCATTTTATGCTATGCCTTTGCTGGGAAAGTTAAGTGTTTTCAAGTTGGATAAACCAGTGTAAAATATTTCCAGGTTATATCCTAGTAAAGAGAGGGCACTTTAATTTTTTTGTTTTAATAGGACTACATATGAGTATAGTTTTCAACTTGCCCACTACATTCAAAGCTATGATCTCATCACCATTTCCTAATAGTAATTTTAAGTTATCGATAAAAATTAACAACTATTTTGCTTACTTCAAAACAAAGCTAGAGAGGTACACAGAGCTTTGACTGGACACTACTGGCATGCAAGCCAATACAAGTTACTAAAAGACGGAGTACAGTACCCTGTCTGAAAGGAGAAGGCCTAAATGACTTCTATAAAAAGTACTTTTTAGTTATGAATTAGGAGGGATGAACTGTGCTTACTTGAAAGCCGTACTGGTAGTTACCTCTTGACTTCTCAGAGGAGAAGGCATTCAAAGTTAGTATAGGTCTAATTATAGTATTCTATACCAAGAGAGGGAAAACAGTGGTTTGGCTGTAGCCAGTAATTTGATTTTATGAGTCAGAGTCAAATTGTTGTTTGTTGTTTTTTTTATAATATCTTAAATAAGACAATGTCAAAGTATGCATTAGCATGCAGTACCAAAGAGGTTTCAAAGGTCTTTTGGGGAGGAAAGTTCTCTATGCCCTTCCTCTGTGGTACACAGTGCAGGCTTGCACTAGGTACTGAACTGATTCCACAGGAACGTGGGTTAATTTCTTAGTAGCCATAGTCTGAAAGAGCAGCTTTCCTCCTGCGCACGCCCAGACTCTCACCAATTCTTCCCCAAAGTAGCTTTTGTTAAATGAATTCCCCATGGGTTTTCTATGGGAGGTATTTTCTTACTTTTTAATATGAAAATTTCTATGTGTAATATTTTTCCTTCTTTGATACATGAAGATGGACCTGGAAATTGAGTGCCAGTAGAGGTGAATGTTGAACAGTGAATCATTTTCTTCTGTGTCCCATTAAAAAGCTAACAAAGAGAGGATATGTATTTTCCTTGTTTTACATTAAATATAAATGTTGATCTTTGAAGCATTTTCTTACTGGCTGAGCTGCATGTAAAATTGTGATTTCCAGCTTAATTTGATTTCTTTACATTTAATGAACAGATCCAATGTGTATGACGAAGATCATATGGCTCACTATGATTCCAGTTGTCATTGTCATGACTGTTTCAGTTGTCATCTACAAAATAGTCCAAGAAAATGGCCAAAACTGTAAGTAACAAGTTCATTTACATGAAACTAAACATCTACATTATGAAAAATATAATAATCAATAGCTTTGTTATTGTCTAATGTGTTTCAGACAACAGTATTTTAATCGTTATGTGGTAGAAACTTCTGGAATACTCAGATGATTGATCCCTTTCATCTTTGAATTGTGGATGCAAATCCAAGCTTTTCGCTGCTAAATGAAGTCTGTTTGTTTTTGTTGTGTTTGTTTTTTTGTTTTTTTTTGACAAATATTGGTAGCCTCTGGTCTTTTGTCTAAATAACTTCTGGTTTCAGACTCATTTCAGTAGATGAAATGAATACAGCTGATCTTTGATGTAAGTCTTAAGTCTTAAGCCAATGACCATTACAAACAGATTTAAACACCCCTTCCTACTCAAAGCAATTCAAAAACTAACACTGCTATGGAATAACTTGTTCTTTTGAAACAGAAACAATTATTTCTACACATTGCCTTCATTGAACAAAACAGGCTCTTCCTATGCAATTCACTGGAGACAGAGTCTGAAATTAGGATTCACAGTATTTCTTCTAGCAATACACCATGGATAACACCATGGATAAGCAAGAATAAAAGTGTAGGAGTACTCTAAGCATGAGACTTTTGGACAACCAAAATAAAGTCCTCTACACAAAATCTATGCAGAAAATTGACCTCTCATCAGCTGCTGGTCTTTATTTTTTTTATTAGAAGTCAGAGCTATGTGGTACAGGAAGCACACACTTTCATCACTGTGAAAAGTTATTTAACCTCTTACCTAATAGAATAGCTTTCAAATGCTTTTCACAGCAGTTTCCTGAGACTTTCTACTTGTGTCAGGCCTGAGTGGCTAGGAAGCTTCTTGAGAACGAGCACTTAGTTCCTATTAACAGACAGATGTCCATTCTCCTTGTAGTTAGGAGCTACAGAATGGAGATCCTGGACACAAGGGTAATAAAAAAATGATAAACTACATGCATTCCCATTATCATCCTAACTACATCCACAGGCAGATTTGTAATGAAAGAGCAATAGGAGTTTAGTTTTAAGGACAGCTGAACAGAAGGCAGAAGAGTGCCTACACACAAGATGTTTCTATGATCAGAATGTTTCTGTGATTTTTTGTATCTACATAATGTAAATATTTTATACCTATATTTTTAATTAATAAGCGAAACAATTGCTTAAAATGACAGCCCCTCAAAATGACAAAACAATCACCTCATCATATTATCTTGGTTAAAATGCACGACCTTTTATTTATTGCTGGAACCAAAGTCTGAATGCTATTTAATGTATGTACAAACTCCAAGAACTGTAAAATAGGTCTTTATAAGTGGGCTATTAAATGCTCTGGTTTGAAGGACTTTTATTTGCATTTTGAAAGCTAACACAAATGTCACAAGTGTGATTGTCTACGCTCTGAGTCATAACATCTCATTTTAATGCAGAGCTGCTAGTAGTGATGATTAACAATTTACTACCTTTACTCTTAAACACTGGTTTTCTATTAAATGCAAGTTTTTCAGAATTGTAGGCACAGGCAGGAAAGAAAAGATGCCCTTCGGGGACTTCTGATTTCTGATTGGTTTCTACAGAACATTTCCAGTTAGTAGAGGAATAGTGTTTTTATTAGGTAAATTTACAATTTATAACATCATGTACAACATCAGTATCTTACTGGCAAAAAGACAAGCACATAAAAATTAGATTTGAAAGTTTTATTCCTTATATGTATACATTATGCCATCTTTAATCAAAAGTCTACGTACTGCTTTTTTCAGTGGTGCCTGAAGAATCTGTCAGAATATTACTGTGTGCCTAAAACAGCTGCTATGAATTTTTACCGTCATAGTTCAGTCAGTACTTTTTCTCTTAATTTCTGAGCACTGCTAAAATCTGTTAAGAAATGTGGAATTACTCATTTCCTCGAGACATTCCAAGATACTCTGTTTGACAGATGCTGAGACTCTGAAACATTAATGAAGTTATTTCCAAAAGTGCATAAAATAAAATAGCCAAATAAATTTGGAGGAGGTTGCAACTGATCCATGACAAAGGAGCTAAATTAGAAATTAGTTCTTTCACCATTATTCTTCCAGTCTTGCCTTAAAGCCAATTCCAGAGCTTCCTTTAACATTAACCATTAGAATACAGACCTAGGACTTCAGCATATTATATCTCACTTGTGTGTTCACAAAATACCATGACCTAAACATTGCCAATTTTATGAATTGCTTAAAGATGATTTTTTTTTTTTTTTTTAGCATTTCCAAAATAAAAATACTGGGGCAAGTCTGTTGTTGGATGCTGAGACCTGGACTTTTATCTTTACAGATCAGTGCTATTAAGATCATCTCTACCTTTCTCTCAGTGATACAGAGCTTGTTCTTACACTGCGCTCCCAAAGGTGAACACCACACACTAGCAAATAAGCTGTAGGCTTCCTAGGATGCCAGTACACTCAACTCTAGCTATTCCACTGTCAGCAGTGAGATTCTTTACCTCCACTGGAACATGCAGAGTGACTTTTTTGATAACCTTCCAAAATTTTCTCAAGGTACATGCTCTGGAGGAGGAAAAGAATAATTTGAAAAGGGCAAGCATGAAGACATAAAATATAATTTGGAAAATAAGAAACATCAGGCTAAGTTTTTTCTCAAGACCTTATCACAAAACATTCCTGTTTTTTTTTTTTTTTTTTTTTTAAATGCGAGATGTTAAACAGTTTAAGTATAGGGTGTTTACCCACTTTCCCTCTAATGACTGATGCATATAATTTTATAGCTAAGAATATCTCATTTTATTTAAAACAGATTGTAAGCATAGAGGAGCAGCAACAGTTTCTACTGATCAATGGAAAAGTGGTTCCAGTCATGATGTAAGAACCATTTCTGCTACTAAAGTTCATCTATTTTCTGGTAGGTAATATAAAATGAAATAAAAAGCTAACATCTTGAAACATGGAGAGTACAAGAAATGGTTTTGAGTCTTTCCTTCAAGGGATGCCTCTGTTTTGTTCCAGAGTTACCCTGATCCTATGAAAAACTGATCTGGCTTGTGTAATGAAAACATATTTATATCAGAAATAAATAATTCTCACAATGAGTCTGTACAATCACATATATTATGTGGGAATGCTTCTGTCAGTCTCCCAAATGATTTACATTAAGGACTGTTCTCCTTTGTTGTTTTGTTGTTTTTAATACTTCAATTTAATGGCTAGTCATGTTGTGTGCCATATTTAAAGTCTTGCAGCCAAGTACTTTGTTAGTGTATGGAAAGTGTACACAAGTGCAATCATGTGTGTGCTGTATGTATTTATGACTTGACAAAATCCGCTACTAAAGGATGGGATGGACAAAGATAGCAGAAAATGGCTCAGAGAATGTCTCTGCTGGCACTTAGCAGTGCTACGGAAAAATTCCAACAAAGTAAAATTTAATAGTTTCAGATCAGTATTAAAGTATGGTCTTCTGAAAGTATAGTGTGTTTAGCACAGATAAATTAAGGGGCATAGCTTAACTCAAAGTTTTAGCTGCAGAAATTAGGATTTAATAATAAATCTGTGTGAGGGTAAATTAGCAAATATGGCTCTGAGTGTTACTGATATTGCAAGAAAAGTCACATGCTTCAATAACTTCAATCAATTCTGGTTCCACAAAGGGAGCTCTGTCTTTTCAAGGATAAACATAAACATGAAGAATAATAGCTTTGAACGAATTCAGAACAAGAACAGCTACAGAGCCAGTAAATGAAATAAATGGTGTTAAATTTGTCTAGGCTTGGGTGCCTCACTGTTTGTCCTGTCAATTCTTGAAGAATTAGAGAAAACGCAATTTCCCTCTGCAACTCAGTAACTCATGGCATTTCAATTTTACCTAGAAGAGAGTGAATATCTCCCTGTCTGTCTGAGCTCTCCTGGGAGTACAATTTATACTCCTCAGTTTTAAAGCACAAGCTACCTCTAAGGTATATTTATGAGCTCATTATTTTCATCCCCCAGGAAAGGGATTATCTCCCTGACATCTTTTGTCTTCGTAGCTTCACCATACCTGTTTTATTAGCACAATGTCATCTTTAGTGCTGAATATCCAAAGGCATTTTTGATTATGAAATTTTATGGAAATTCAAATGTAGTTTTATTGTACTGAAGAGAACAGGAATCCCATATTGGTTTGTTGTTCTTACTTCCATGTTCCTCCTGCTTCAGTCTATACATTTAACTCATAATGATGCTTAGTTGTATAGACTGCAACAATGGGCCTTATTCTAATCTGATATTGATTTCACACACTATGATTCTACTGAATCCAGATAATTTCCCAATTTATACAACTTAAAGTAGAATCAGAACCATATGGAAAGTGTTTACTTCATTCCAGCTCCAGGATTTGCAACTGTGATAGTAGGTTATAAATTGTGAGAGGTTACTTATTTGACAGCCCTTGATAGTACTTAATTTATCATTAGTATATAGCTTGAAATCTAGAAACATAACACTGAGATTCACTGAAGACAATACAACCATCCTGGAAATACTGTAATGAAAATAAACAACTCTGTATTACAAGGGGCTGGGAAGGTATCTCATGGATGAAAAGATGTATAGATACTTCTCAAAGCATTCAGAGTTCAGAAAGGATAAGGAAAGCCAAAGAAGGAAACTCATACTTTGAGAATAATTCCTTAAGCAGACACAGTAAATTAGTGGCTTAGTATCAATGTGTTACTACAAACAGATAATTCACAGCACATATGTAAAACTGTTATTGCCACTATGTACATGTATCATTACCATCCGGCCCAGTGGCAAGGAGGAAAGATCTACAGTATATTCTCCAAGGGGGGACTGAAATAATAACTAATATGACTTAAGAAAATCATAGTATTTTAAAGGAATAGGCACATACAGTGAGTTAGGGAAGCTTTAGTGCGTTCTTCTGGTCATGAATGTAGATTGTATCATGACTGTTCTGTTAAGCCAAAAGAAGTACGTACAGAGTGGTACACGTTATCTAGACTTTGGATCTGTCATTACATTTTTGTAAAACATTCCCTTGTATGGTTTAAACTGACAATGCAGTTTCCCTTTATTCAGCTGCAACAGCACAGGATGCTTTTTGTTCAGTGCAAGAAGTTCTTTAAATGGCTGACCTATATTTCCAGACATGGAACATTTTCATACTGGATAGGATTTGACAGTAGCAGTTCAAAGTATAGATGAACACAGAGCAAGAAACTGATTTTTATGACAGAGAATCTTAGGGAGATTCCCACATCAGAGGCTTTTATTTCAAGACTTCCTTTCTTTCAAATTGAAGAGGCAGTAGAAAAGGTTTTGGAACAGCTTAATAAATTAATAATAGCAATTATGAGTACTAGGTAGTATTCCCCAAGGTGTTCTAAAAGACCTCAGAAACTGCTAAATTGTCATGTGTGACTCATTGCTTAAATCACCTTGATTCCAGCAAAATGGAAGGTGGCTGTACTTACGCTGCTCGTATACCTTTTCCTTAATCCACTTTTGCCAAACCACTTAAATACCTTTTCCACTATTAGCAACTCATTAAATATTGCTGTGCTCATATAGATGTATCCTAAAAAGAATTTAAGCCTGGGGGTGTGGTACGTAATTACCTGTTTCGAGTAGAACAGTGTGTATGAACTATATACTACACCATTAAAAAAAAAAAGAGAAAAAAGGAAAAGAAATAGAAAAAGAAAAGAAAATAGTTTCATAAGAAATATGTATTGCATAAATAAGGGGTTTAATACCAATGAGTGAATCTGCCTGGCAGATTCGTATAGAAGTTTCATTAATGAAAGTATGTGGGTTAAAAGATACAGTGCGAGTTCATACTAGAAGTTTACCTCTATAAATTCCAGATCTCATTTTTCCAGCATATAAAAAATGACATTCAATTTTGTCCTATTTTGAATGCAGCATAAAGTCTGCTGAAAAAAGTCTTCTTCCCACTTCTGTTCTTGAAGAGTACAGTACAGAAAGGAAACCATATTGCTAATATCATCATATTAGCACTCTACAGTCTTTGTGAGCTATCTTAGTTCAGACATAATGCCTGCTACACTGCTGAAATTGTGTCTCACTTCTCTCATTTTCAGCAACACTCCACTGACTCACAAAGTCATACTTCGGCTCATTACATTTTGGTATACAAATACAGGATTCCCTGACTCAATCTCTGAGTCTGCTCACAGTAATGCAAAGTTAATTCCAATGTATGTTTTCTTCTGATTATATTATGACACTCCTGGCTTTCAGCCATGCCAAATTAATTCACATTCATACTGCATTTGCCAAAACAGATTTTGAACTTATCCCAGTCACGGTGCTGAGTATTCCAAAGACTGTACTTATTGAAGCAGTAGCATTTTCAATTGAGATTTCACTAGCATGTGAGTTACAAGATGTATTAGTATGTTCACATCCGTGCTACTTATCTGAAATCTTTGAGTTATAAATTTTTTCTAGTGAAAATGAATGTAGCCCAGAGTCAGCAAATGCACACAGCACTTGGTTACTCCATGGTTCATTGAGCTCACTGGTAGTTAAGATCAGCATCAGTGTTTTGGCCTCTATTCCCAGCAGCAACGGAAATTCCTCCTGAAGGCTAGGAGCCATTCCCAATACAACAATAAGAGCAGAAGTTACCCATACCTAGGGGTCAGGCTGCAGCAGATGGCCAGCAGTTCATGTGGCTTTTGCTGCTGAGGAGGCGTGCTGTGTTTCTCTTAGGGGAACAATTTGTGGTCAATTTGAACAAAGGCCACCAGCCTGTGATACAGAGCTCAGTCTTAGCATAAAGTGTAACACTTAAAACTATCCAGTGAAGCAAGAGACCAGTACATCAACATTTATACCTACATTTCAAATGGAAAAGTAATTCTTAAAAAGCCCAAAGTATGCCAGTAAGAAAAAATAAAAATAAAAGACAATGCATTAGCAAATCTGAGTGCATGGCTTGAACTCTTTGTTCAGGCTAAGAGAGATGGAAAAATAGAAGAACAGCATAAATGCTGCAAGCAAAGAGAAATAGTTGCAGTTCTCAGATACAGAAATTTTGGACACTTCAAGAACATAAGAAGTGGGGTGGCTTGTTTAAAACACATGCTATAAAATGCTAAAGAAGACCTTCAGCTACTAAGCAATTGAATGGTAGTTTTATAACTCATTCTTAAAGAAGGTCAATGCAGGATCACAGTGACAACCAGAATTTGGAGAATAAAACTTCAAATTTTCAGGCCTGCTGTTGTCTTCTGGACTATTTACATTTTGTGACATCCATAGCATCTGATATAAGCATGCTTTGCAACTATAATTTGCATGAAAGAAACAAGTAGGTAAGTTTCCCATCAGTCATTTGAATTCCTACATTGCTTTCCATGCTATCATATTAAAATAATAGTTCCTAGCCTACAAGAGTAGAGGAAATGGGCCACATTCTACCATCTCTCTGAGGCACTGCTGCAACTTCAGGTTAGTTGACAGGTTGGAAGTAGAAGCAATCCCTGGCTCAGTAGTGTTAGGGCTGCCATCCCATTGAATTCAGATTCAGTCCTTGTATTCTGCAATACATTTCCTTTTTAGCACGAGGACAGACGTGATACAACTTCTTCAGCATTAATTAGATGCAAAGCCAAGACAGGAGAGATTTGCTTAATCTTGGCCAATTGAAGCATCACATATTTGATTCTGATCCTTCCCAGTTAGTTCCTGACATAGCTGTTGTCCTTGCCATTGTAACTTAGACGAATAATGCTGGGAAAAGCAAAGCTTATTATGATGTTTAATACTAAACACAGACTTGCTCATTACAAAGATGCAACATCTCCAGAGAAAAAAAATGTGAAAGTTAATTACCACTTAGGGTATTTTGCTGTTTCAGAAAGGAGAATAAAACCAAGAAGGAACAGATAATCTTTACGAACTTTTATAGCTCCTGTATGCTTTCTGTAGGGTGCTTTAAATGAGTGGCCTTTTCTTTCTCTGTTAAGTTTGCATGCATGCAGAGTAGTGTTACACATAGGCTCTGAAAGAAATATAAGCCTACATTCTCATTCTTCCGGGGTTCAGCCTGAGGGTGAAATAAGATCCGTTTTTAAAATTTGCCCTAGGTTTATTTTAACTTTATTTTTCATATTCAGTTTCTTAATTACCAAGATCTAAACTCCACTTTTTAATTGGTCAGTTGATACAGTAAGTGAAGAAGAGATGAAGCTAAACATATATTACATTCTCTTGTTATAAACACAGCAGAAACCCACTTGTAAGTTTACTGAAGTCATGAATTGTCAGAGACAGGGTGGACCTGAAGTTAAAATATTTCGGTTCTACTTCTTCTGTAGTTCTTTGAAAAATGCATTATTGCATCAATAACTCTGACTTCATTAGCTTAGCAACGCTATTTCAGTCTTTCTTTATCTGTACTCCAGTAAGATACTGTATCAGCATATTTACTGGCAGTGTGCTAAAGGCATCATTGCATCACTCCCTGTTTCTGAGGTGCATGATGCTACCTCTTTTAACTACCATATGAGACCTAGATACTCTCCCTGAGCATATGACAAGTTATCTGAAACCACATCAAATATTCCTGTGTGACAATCATCTGGGCTATCCTCATATGAAAATGAATTGGAAAGTTTACATTCTAAATTTGTTTCTTCTCAACCAGCCAGTGATAGGTTTTTGTATTTGGGGAGCATTACAGTTAGTGTTACAGCTGGAAAGATTGTCATGGTGAAAGTGGGAAAAGAAACAAGCAGGAAGGAATGCTCACCTGCATCCAAAGATCTAGATTAGCAGGAAAGACTCCACAGAGGAAAAACCTTCAGAAAGAGATCCTTCCCCAGTGGCGGCCAGCCCTTAAATGGAGTCTAGGAGAGGTGCAGCCAGGCTTTGCCTATGACTTCTGGTCAGATAGCTGAATTGCCTTCACCTGTGCTCCCAGGGCTGACTCAGTCCTTTCCTCAGGTGATCAATCAGTGGTTCAGGCCGTGACTCAACAGTTTCCATACAGGGAGACTTTTAGTTAAACCCAAATTTGCATGTATTTTCACTAACAGTAAACTTTTACGAGCAACTTAGTTGCCTACCTCCCAGCTGCTTTCCATAAAGACTTCAGCCTACTGTAGTCTAAATAGCATGCAGAAGAAGTGAAATACCAGAACATGGTTAATACTTGCAGGACTTCCAGACATACATCTGCATCTCTGGACACTGAAATCCTATTGAAAAACTGGTTATGCACCTCTGTCTTGTAATCAGATAGCTCTCAATGATTTTCAGACTTGCATATTCAAACACTCTGCAGATGTATTTGCTGTTTAACAATGTGAGTTAAAAATATTTTAACTTTTAACAGTGAAAACCAACGAAGAACCGATTTCACTTACTGCACAGGCCATAAAGATACTGCCCATAATTCCTGAACAAGAACACTGTATCTGAGTACATCAAGTATTGAATGTACGTAAGTACCTTACAGTGCTCAAATTTTTCTGTTTGCCTCGTATTTTTAGCATTAGTATTAAGCACACAGAATCATAGAATCGTAGAGGCTGGAAGACATCTGGAAATCATCTAGTCCAACCCCCTGCTAAAGCAGGCTCCCTAGAGTAGGTTGCACAGGAAAACATTCAGGTGGACTTTGAATATCTCTAGAGAACAAGACTCCACAACCTCTCTGGACAGCCTCACCCAGTGCTCTGCCACTGTCATCAGTTCTTTCTGATGTTTGTATGGAACTTTCTGTGTTACAGATTGTGCCCATTACCCCTTGTTCTGTCATTGAGCACCACTGAAATGAGCCTGGCCCCTTTCACTTTGAGTCCTGCCCTTTAGATATTTATAAGCATTGATAAGAACTCCTCTCAGTCTCCTTTTCTCTAGGCTGAACAGTCCCAGGTCTCTCAGCCTGGAGATGCTCTAGGCCCCTCATCATTTCTGTGGACCTCCACTGGACTCTCTCTAGAAATTCCCTATCCTTAAACTGGGCAGTCTAGAACTGGACACAGTACTCCATATGTGGTGTCATCTGCTAAAAAAAAAAAAAAGTTCTTACATCTTCTAGCCAAATATATGAGATGACAAACAGGAAAATGTGTTTTGTGGGAGCTAGATGGCAAGAAAACAAAATCAAGTTTCCTTCTGGTACCAAGAGTTATCTGTAAACTAATCTGTTAGTCTTTTAAGTGCTGCGTACTCCTGAAAGCAGCAGTGCTAATTCTGACTCTATTTTTCTGGTATAGAACATTGAATCCTAGACATCAGCAATTTGCTGATATTTGTTTCTGACAAGGGCAGAGGAGAGAAGCAGTTTTCAAATAATTTCTGGAAATAATCATGTGTTTGAAATGATAAAATTCACAAAACAAATACATTAATTGTTCTGTCAGTAAGTGACAAGAAGTTGGTTTCGGCTTGGAACCAAAGCTAGTATACTGTTTCTAACTTTCTTTGGCTGTTGTATTCTAGTAAGTGCTTCAGGAAGTCAAGATTATTGGAAAAAGTCTGAAAAAAAAGTGCAGTGAAGATATACCTCTTTCTGACAATACCTGTAATGCCTAGAAACAGATTACTCAAATAAATAATACAAACAGACTAACATCAATTTTATAAACAGGGTTATGGCTATTTACATAGATTTATATTACTTTTTATGGTGACTTTTTAAGGCTAAAAGTGTAAGAAATTCTTCTTTACATGTATTTAAATTGGATGATGTATTTTCAAAAATGAATCTTTTCCACATATTAAAAATATTGATGTATGCTTTGGTTTTTTGTGCTTCATATGGAATCATAAGCAGCAAAGCTATGCACTGATAGCAGAGCTAAAAAAGCAATTTGGAACAGCAATGCTGGCAAATAATAATTGATTCTAGATTCTTTTTTTTCTTCTGAAAGAGACTAGCTGGGTTATGGGGCAGCATATTATCACAAAACTACAGGCAATTTTTAAGTGGTTCCCATCCATAGATCTTATGAGAACTTACAAAGATGGAAAGTTGACATTGTTACTGTTCTAAAATGAGGCTACCAAGAGATAGATAATGTGACTTGGAAAGTCAGAGAGGTGATGGATGTCCCATCCTTGGAGACATTCAAGGTCAGGCTGGATGGGGCTTTGAGCAACCTGTTTGAGCTGTTCATTGCAGGGGAGTTGGACTAGATGACATTTAAGAGTCCCTTCCAACTCAAATGATTTTATGATTTTATGATTTTATAACAGGTGAGAGACCTCTCAGATCACTTGAGTTCATCTGTTTGCCACTTGGATGCCATAAGTTTTCTTAGACTCCCATCAGCTTTTCTGTAGGGCTCCTTCTTCCTTTCTGCAGGAGATCCAAACACTTCAGCATTAGACTTTCTATTGTGCTCACAAAACTTCGTATTCTAGAAACAAAATGTTATGGTCCCTTCCCATGCATATTTAATGTCTGTGTTCCTGGAGGTGGAGTAACCATTCAGATTGATCTGCTGGTACCTCTTTTGCTTTTATTCTCTTATATATTCTGTATTGTATTGTAGAATAGAAAGGAGGAATGGAACAGCTTTGTAGATGTTCTAATCGGAACTCTGTGAGATAACATATGAGACTCAGGACACTTTTGATTGAAGTAATGTCTTTGTTTAATCTCTGAGCCTGTCACCGAAAGAAAAAGATTAGGTGTCTTGAGAAACACCAAATAAGCTTGTTTCAGTGCTGTGCTGTATCAAAACAGTCTTGTTTTCATGGTCATAACATTCCTTCAGAGGGACTGCTGGCAGCCAGGTGAAATGAATGCAGTATGTGGGATAAATATTCAGAACATGATTATTTAATGTCACAAGACATGGGATGGAAAAATTATTTTAGAGTGTAGCTGGAGAAGGACTTACTTGTGCCTGGAGAAACAAGAATTAGATCTGCATCTCGTCTTTCATTGCAACTGGATTTTGAATAACATTTCTCACAGGAATAGTCTCAAAGCTCAAGAAAAGTGCTTTCTGTTTCAGTCTTGCTTCAATTCCTGCAAAGAAACACTTCCTCCATCCAAAAGTGCAGCTCATTACTACTTATGTTTGTGGGTGGATCAGTAGCTAACAACACTGCAGTTACAGCTTGCAGTAAATCTTGCTGGCTGAAAGTACATCGGGTTTCTTTGGATGTGGAAGGAGGCTGTGATCTACTTCTCTCATGAGTGCTAGGGTCATTATTAAGTCTGTAGCGCTTTGGTCTTTGGTAGCAAGGACTAGTTTGCTCAACAGGGAAGAGTTGGCTGCATTAAAGTGCTGTGCATGAATGCCTAAGTACTGAGACTGAAAAATAATAAGATTATTAATTTCAAAGAATTGACAAAGCCATTCACAGATGTGATCAACTTGATAAAATCTGATTGGTTTCTTTGTTTCACAACAAGGGTAGTGTGGAGTATCAGAAGCCTCTTGATCAAAGAGCATAACCTTTCTATCACATTCTCAGTTGGTTCCCCAAAACACATGGATTGCAAATCACAAATACAGGAACTTGGAGTGAAGCCTGTAGAAAAGAAGGGTTCTAACCTGAGATAAAAATCTGCCAGAGCTCCACTGGTGATAGTGCTCACAGCTGCCCTTCTCCATATCTGACTTCAGTCCTAACGATAAAAGTTACTACAGTGCCTGCCCTGGATCTGTGAGGCAAGCTGGTAACTCAAGAGCCATGAGGTTGTGTTCCTAAAGCTAACGTGTGCCCATTCCCCTGCATGCACATAAGCTTTTAAATCACTTGTGTTTTACACTTCTAAATCTTGGAAGCCCAGGCTGTTGGATGAGCTCTCAGTTTGGCCAAGGCACCTTCTCTGGAGTTGCACACTTTATAGAGGAACACATTTGAAAATACCTCAGCTGCTGAGGTGTGTTTCAAGCAAACCACTTTTCTTTGAGTGATGCTTTTTCTGGATTCCATGTAGCTGAATCTGCTTGTAGAAAACATCAACCACAGCACAGAGTGTTTATGCTTTTTCTGTAATGACATTAGCTACACAGTAAGTGCAACACGAGCTGTAAGGAGCAGGAAATAAGTAGTCTTCATTTTGTTTGTTAAGACTTCAGAAAGGAAATCTCATTTTTAACAAACAACATTGCATTCTGCATCCATCATTTTTAAGATGTGAAATATAAGTGGATTTTTTGTAGTGCCCTATATCTTAGTACCCTTGAGAGTTCTGAAATGAAGGTTTGATAAGATTCATTTTTTAATCCATCTATTTTACTGCTTTTAAATCTTCCTGGGAAAGACATGATTTAAAATGTTGTGGAGACAGGAGGAGATCTCTGTTAGCTATGTTAAACTTTGTCCCCAACATGCTCTATTCCTCTTGACAACGTACTAAATCAAAGTAAGTAAAATACGGGTGATTTCTTTCTGAATGCTTAATAAAATGAAGTCTGGCAGTGTGGTGGTAACCAATGGACAGGAAGTAATGGGGACTATGCATATCTCTAAGCACACACATACCAACAGGCACACAAGAAAATATTCAGCTGATAGAACTCTCAACATCTTCTGCATCCATATACCTTTGACAAAGGAGAATCTTTTCAGCCTAGGTAACTTGAATATCTCTGTATGTTTTCAAGAAAACTATTATTATTACATTTGAGTGCTGAAGTTAAGAATCCTTCTCTATTTCTGCCATCTTTCATTAAACCACCATACTAGCAACTGTCCTGAAAAAAAATAAATGAGTGAAGTCTCTCAGGTGCTGTAAGACAGTTCTCTGTTTATATGTGACAGTTGTAGATACATTTCCTAACTGCTGTCAAATGGTGACATAAGAATTACTGCAGAGTTCAAGGCTGCTGTTTATTTGGTTAGAAAGCATGAGCGTTTTATTCAGGGCAAACGTTTGCATTAGGAGGCACTGCTTTTCAGGGGACAGGACGCTAGAATAAAGCCCTGGAGACCCAACTTCTTCTTCAGTCTCTTCTGGTGACTCCTCATTACTAATTGCACTGTGACAATAAATGTTTGCTCCCAGCTAAAACTAAGAGATTGTGTTGTGCTTTTAACTTATGAAGCCCAACTTGCATCAACTTGTACTCTTAATGAACCCTACTGGCATCAACTATTATTTTTAGCAGCTCTAAAATGCTATGAGATGTTTATCTGGGTCTGTTGCTTTTTTCTGTTTGTTTGGTTGGTTTTTTTGTTTTTTTGTTTTTTTTCAATCTGAAGTGTCAACAATGAATATTCTTTTCTGTTATAAATAAAAAGACAGAAACAAGAAGGTGCATTGATAAGCAATCCAGGAGAGCAGATCAGAAGACGACAGACTGAATTGATATATTAAAGCTAGGCTTCCTTTACTTAAAAAATTCAGCATGACAAACCATAAGGAAACTAATATTTCTGAATGCACCTGATTCAATGACAGTTCCCTAAAACAGTATAGGGAAAAGGATTATTGCAGTAAGAAATAAAAGTGAACAAATAAGAGCCAATTCACTGTGCTCATTAGAACAGCCCTATATGTGGTGAACAAAGGTACTTTTCTCCAGCTGTGTCTGTGTCCATCCCTTGGTGGTGGTCTGTCCTCCCCAAAGCAGATGCTTCCGGGCTCGCTGGCCTCTCCGATGCCACAGGCACACTTCAGTCTTGCACTGATCAGAGCAGAGTAACAACCACACATGTATGGTTTGGAAAGTATTGTGAGCCCACTCACAATTTTTGTCCTCTGCCTTTTTAAAGGGAAGCAGTGTTGTATTCTCTGTCTCAAAAGGAGCATTAAAGGATTTCACAGCTGACTAAGGACAGAACAGTCTTCTGCCTTATTTGGGGAAATTAGAGGCAGATACTGAACTGACAGTTCTTGTTTGAAGTGCTGTCATTTTATGAGGGAAGGGAAAAAGAAAAGGAAGGAAGGAGGGAGGGAGAAAAGGAAGGAAAGAGTGGGGAGAAGGAAAGAAGAAAGGACTGAGGGAGGGAGAGAAGGAAGAGAGGAAAGCAGAGAGGAAGAAAGGAGGAAAAGGAAAGAAAGAAAGAACAGGAAAAACAGGAAGAAAATGGAGGGAAGAAGGGAGAAAGAGAAAACTGTCTTTCTGTCAACTGTTGTGGACATTTATTATTATTTTTTAACAGTGTCCAGTGTCATGCTCTGGGCTGTCTTTATATCAAGTTCACACAATTTGGTCATTGTTACCCTAAGCACTTTATTTACTGCATCCGTCTCTTTGACAGTCAGTGCCCCAAAGGACAAGATGAAATAATCTTACTGTCCTGCCTCCCATTAATTCTCTTAGTAAAAGTGGTTGATGTGTCAAAGGCTGCATAATAGCTAATGAAAGTTCCACATCAGCAATTGCCAACAATTTTAGTGTGCTTCCTTTTGCCATCAGCACTTTCATCTCTCTTTATAGAGAGCTTTCAGATCCTTGAATACGTAAAGCGCTTCACATCTCTGTATTTCTTTCTGAGTGACAGATAGCTGTGTAGTTAAGCAAGACAAGTTGGTCTCCCAGTGAATGTATAATTTAAGGCACAATCTTATCTGCAGGTAAAATGAATTACAAAATTGGAACATAAGGTAGATGACAGGTAACTGACAGGGAGGATGCACAGGGGAGGAACATATATGGCTAAAAAGATGAAAACCACTTTTACAAAAATAAAAGAAGTTGATGTATCCTTTTCCTCTCTAGCAGTCCAAAAGCATGTGGACATGTCACCTCCCATGCAGCACAAGAGATCAGCAAGTAAGCAAGTAAGCATGAGACAATTTGATTCCTACCCAGCTACATTCAGATTGGCATCACTGCTGTCATTTCCTAAGGATATCTCCTTTCCCTAGCAACGTAGAAATTCAGCTGTACAGAGTCCAGTCTAATACCACACTAACATCTAATTCAGTGCTGGTCTGTTTAGGACATTACCTGTGTTTGGGCTGAGGTCCCTTCTGCCTTCCCAAAGAGGTATTCAAATATCTTCATTGCAGAATTTAGTAGCACAAACAGATGGGATAACTAAAAATAGTTTTGCTTTTCAGGGCCCTGGGCAGCCTGATCTAGTGGGTGGCAGCCCTGCCCATGGCAGAGATTTGGAACTGGATAGTTTTTAATGTCCCTTCCAGTCCAAACCATTCTGATTCCTTGATTTTCCTTATGTGATTGTGACTTCACATAAATGTTCTCATATCTAAAAGAACTCCTTGTTGTATGTCTTCAAGCAAGACACCCACACAAACAACAGAAGACACTAATTATGCAGGGGAAACAGTGAAACTGTTCAAAACATTCTAGCAGAGGAAGCACAGAGCAAGTGCGCTTGGAAACGAGAGTGAGATTAGTTAGGCTTTTTTTGCAAATTGTGTTTGTAAAGAACAGTAGGTGTGATTTCAAATTGATGGAATCCTTCTAGATTTTGAAAAGCATCATTTGAGTGCTCAGAAGTGCTAAGTGTCTGGTGATTAGAGCCATAATAAAATTGGATGTGATGACACTGAGTTCAGCCACATCTGGATTTTCCAGTTGGCCATTCTTGGAACATGAAATTTTATTTATGTATTATGCTTTCATGAATCCCTGTAGATAACAATGAAAAAAGATTTATGCCCATATGCAGTTTTAAATCCATTTGAGGACTACATGAAGTTACTTGATCTGATATTAAATTATTATTTTTTTTAAGTATCACAGAAGATAATTCTCCTACTGTTTCTGCTCTTGTAATAGGTTCAAATCTTTATTACTCAGTTAAATTAAAACTTCTTTTAGAAAGAAAAAGCTCACAGAATCAAACTGCTGAGCACATTCCAGGGTACTTGGCATGGTTATTGGTCTCAGCTTAAAGTGCACACTGGATGTGTTTTTCTCCAAGACAGACATTTGGAAGTTTTTGAAGGGAAGCAGTCCTGTGTGTTTTCAGAACTGGACTGTAACAGGCACTGTACAGTCTGTTTGAAACCTCTGTTCCATTAGCTGGCATCAATTTTTGATGCATTGTATCCTGCCTACACATTTGCTAGATTGCTTCAGCAGCTGCTGCCTCCAGTATGATTTCACAGCCAAAGAAACACTTCTTATCCTAGTTCTCACAGCGTAAAGGAAAAGAGAGACAGATGTTGTTATTCAGCCCTCAGCTACATGAACTACCAGAATGGGTGACAAGCTGCATTTGCTTTTTCACTCAGTTGAGAATAAGTACTAAAGAAATGCTGCAATTTTTTTCCCAAGCAGTTTATAGTTTCCTGAAAACTAAAACTGAGCTTGATTTGGATCTGGGCATTTTCACATCTCTTCTCTGCATCACATGCGGCTTCAGGAGCGGCAGTCCAGCTTTCAAAAGGCTCACTGATGATTACTGAAGAGTGGTTTTCATTTGGGAATGTGGAAAAAGCTGTTCTTATTTCTTTATTTCCAATTTTGTCCTGCTATAAACAAGTATTCTACGTGAAATGCAATTGGGCACAGGTCTGCAAGTTTTCATACTCAGTAGCACTAAGTAAGAATTACTTAGATAACTTCTGAACACTCTGCAGCAGGTGGATCAGTTCACAAAGAGATGTCCAGGAGTTGACACTCAGAAAGAGTCTGTGGGATTTAGGCAGATATTACACAGAAAACTCCTCATCTTGCTGCCAGGAGAGGCGATGAAATAACTGATCAAGTTTCCACTCTCAAGGAGACGATCACCGCCTACCTACTTTAAAAGAGAGTTCCACAATGAACTCTATGGAGACAGCAGAAGCCCAGTTTGAAATACTTTACATCTTACTGGCTCACTGAGCTGGGTGTGTGTGGCCAGTGCTCTCCCATGCAGCTTGTCTCTCCCTACTGGATGCTTTAGACAGCCCCATGCTGCCCTGAAAATGAGGGCCTGTGGATCTTTCTGGGTTTCCTCTACCCATGGACCAGGTACCTAAACCATCATTCTATTGACAGGTGTCTTTTGTAGCTTTTTACCTCCAATCTGGTGTATATCTTCTATGTAAATAACTGCTTAGTTAGATTTTTTTGTTTTTTTTCCTTTTTGCCCTTCTTTGCCTTTTGTAATAGAGGAAAATTAATTACTGTAAATGTGAAAGAAATGTAGCATTGTGAAGGGCACTGCATTGACATTTAAGAAAACACTGCTTTTTAACCTCCTCTTATTTCTGAAATTAATGTTTTCTTTTGTTTCAGGTGGTACCATATGAAATACAATTTCTATTGCATGAAAGAAAGAAACAATACACCACAGAAGACCAGATCTCTATTTCCAGTTTGGGAACTCTGTTATCCATCTTTTTAGGAGAATGCCAGCTGTGCAGTTTAGTTGAGAAGCTTTATTTTATCTAACAGAACTACTTGGTATTAAGAAAATATGAATAATGAACGAACACACTTTGCTGTAGAATCAACTTCATTTGTAAATTATGGATTCCCATCTATTTTCTGTTCATTCAAGATTTATGCTTAATCATAAGGTCCTGAAATAATCCATGCAATAATTTATTTTTCTAACTGGGAGGAAATTTATATTCTCCATAGAATAAAATACTGATAAAAGATCGAAATCAACCTATGTTTTCATGAAATGAGTATAGTTTTCAGGTGACTGAGATGCGAAAGAAAGATCATTTCTAGCTGTTGAGGAAGATGGCCAACAGAACACAGAAGGAGAGAGTTCTGCAGTACATTTTAATTTCTGCAGCAAACTAGGAAGGCATTCATAAATTCTGCAACATCTCGGGGGAAAAAGAAAAAAAAAATGTGGAAAATTTGTACATTTGGCTTAAATCCACTAAATCATTATTATTGTTTTATTTTATAAGCCATTAAGATGCCAAATGGGTTTTGTACTTTTTGAAAAATTGCATTTCTATTTTTTGGATTAGCTTAGGTCATTAGTATTCAAACTCATTATCTCCTGGAACTTTTCCTTACTTTCCATTTATTACTGCTCCTCAGAGCATAATGGAGCTGTTTGGGCTGAGCAGGGTCCCAAAGTCATTCGGCTCTAACACGTTATTTGTGCGTATAATCTAACCATAAATTAGTAGGCAGAGACAGAAATTGCAGAGCTAGGGCTTCAGACTCCCTTGTGCTAAATCCATCAGGATGAACAGATTGTAAACTGCCCATTGCAAATATGATATGCAGCAATTTAGCGTCACGTTAATACTTCATAACCTTCATCCCTTACATTTATATAGCTTTTCCCTCCTGAAGCTTTCTGAAATTGCTTCTCCAGCCACTGCACTGCATGATGCGGTTCAGATTTAATAGGAATAGTTGTGAACATTAGCTTCAGAATAATTTGAGCCCATATGGTTTTTTTTAAGTTTAGTTGTACAAAACTGTAGCATTTGTTTCTGTTGTTTGTTAACATCTTGTAAAAAAAAAGTCAAAGAAAAATACTGACTTTCTTGATTTAGGGGCTTTTCAGTTTCATTGCTTATCTATGGTAATAACTTAAAGCTTTTCAGAAATGGATTTTTTAATGCAGTCTATAAAATAAACCTCCACCCCCCCCCCCCTTTCTGTGGAACTTACAATGGAAGGCAAATACCTGTCGAAAGTCACTGTAGAATTGCTAAGGCCATTTGAGCCAGTTTTTAAATGCTTCAGATGATGGCACTATCTATCACTCTTCCCCTTCAGTAATCCTGGGATTTTGGTGGTAGAGATAGCCCTGCTCCTTGTGACCCCAATTTAATTTCCTTTCTCCTGTAATTTATTTCTTCTCTCTCTTTCTTTTTTCCTTTTTTTTTTTTTTTTTTTTGTTGTTGTTGTTGTTGCCTATAGCATCCCCCTTTTTTTCTCCTTGGAGGAAGAAATTGTGACTTTATTACCCACAGTTATCCAACAGCTTTCTAAGTGTTTTACTACCTTGAAAGTTTGCATCTCCTGAGTTACCACTTTGAGACACCAAGAACAAGAGAAATCTTTTAATCTCTCTCTTGAGTAGAGCTTACCTTGCTTTGCAGGTAGGATCCAAACTGTAGGAAAGCAGAGACTCTTCTCTCAGTCTCTCACAGGACACGTGCCCCAGGCAGGTTGGCTCTCTGTTGAGCTCACTCCAGTTTACTGATGCTTCACTCCCAAACCAGATACAATCACGTAGGAGAGGTCTCACGAGTGCCAAGGTGGATTATCAGCTCACTTGAGCTACTGGCAGTGCTCTTTCTAATACAGCTGAGGAGGCTGTTAGCCACACCCAACTTGCCCTCCACCAAGGCTTCTTGGTCCCTGTTAGAGAGCTGCTTCCCAGTCAGTCTGTGTGCTGGAGTGGTGAGACAGTTCTTCCATGTCACCCACAAAGAACCATGATTCAAGGGTGCGTGTATATAAGTTCCCTTGACTTCCTCTCCTGGATAGAAAGGTCATGCTGTTAAAGGCGCCTTTTTATGAGGGTCTTTTTGCTCATTACTCTTTTTCACTTCTGCATTTGAAAAGAAAAAGCTTTTCTAGGTTTTGAGAGTGTTGTGAGAATGAATGTTTTTGCCATGGAGGCCATCTATGTGTGGCATGGAAACAACCAGGAGAAGCTCTGTAACCAAACTCATTCCTGGGCCTTGAGGAAGGGTCTGACTTATCCAGGGCAACCTGGTTCCTGCTGGTGATGGAGCTGGCACAGGCATAGGCCAGGCTGCTGGGCAGGGGCAGGGGTAAGGTGTTCCCCTGAAGGAATCACTCCTTGGACAGTTTCCTGAACCTGTTCACTTTCACTGAAGGAAGAAGGAAGGGGCTAAAAAGCAAGTGATTTGCTTAGTCATCTTAACCCCCTATCTTCACCCTGGGTTTTTTGAAAACTGAACATGTGAAGAGAGGAAGGCTGTCCTGGTGCAGCCTCTCAGGCACAAGGTGAGGGATAGGAGGAAGAACCCCAGAAGCTGGTGGGGGAAGGAGGTGTGCAGGTGAGGTGGAGCTGGATGAACAAAAATGACGGAAAGGCAGAGCTGGTGGCATACAGGAATGTGTGAAATAGAGGGAGAACTGATGAGGGGACTGAAGGAAAGATGCTCTGTCACCTTAAAAATAAGAATAGTAAAGGCTGCTGATACTGTGAGATAAGCCAGGGCAGTATGAATAACAGTTTTACAATTCTAGTAAATGGCTTGAGAGTCATTTGAAGATGTGTAAAAGTTGTTTGAATTACCCAGCATTCTGGCTTTCATTTAAGTGACGCTGTCTGACTCCAGATCTGGCACTCTTTCTTGAATGCCTTTCAGCTTCACCCTTTTAGCACAGAAGAGGAATAGCTTACATTTGTTTGAGTAATGTCTTCACCCCTTCCTCTTTGCAGCAGCAGCAAATTCAGTTCACTAAGAATTACGATTAGGCCTTCCAGCAGACTTTTTAGACTCCTTTTGCCCATTATTGTACTATTAAAGAAGAAATACTCTTTCACTCCTTGGATAAAATGTTTGAAAGGCAAAATGAATAGCTGGTGCTCTTTCTTGAGTCTATTAGAGCATCCATCCAAAAGACAGTAAAGAGAAGCTGCGAAAAGGAGATCAAAGTGGGTAGGCTAATAAGTTCTTAGCGGATCCGTGCTCAGAGACTTTTGGGGTACAGGTGATAAAGGAAGAATGAGCACTGCAGATCTAGCACAATCAAATTAGCTGTCTTCTTTCCTTTGAGCTTCACTGCCTTTAATATTCTTGTCTTTGCCTTACTTCCTTCAACTCCACGCAGATTTTTCTTTTACTTCAGAAGTGCTGTTATTCCAGTTCTGCTGGAACTAATCAGATGTCATCTCCTGTTTATTTTGAACAATGCTGAGAAATTCTTTGAAAGACTCTTTTCTCTAGTCCAACCTTGAAAATCATCTCTGTTTTCAGACAGTATGCCCTTCTTTGCCTTTGAAAAATCATCTTTCCTCTTCCATCTGTTTAATACAGGTCAATTTTTGACATTTTATTGTCTTTTTTTTTTTTTAATGCAAAACAGCACGCCATCAGCAATACAATTCTATAAACACTGAGCACTGTGAGCGCTGAGGTTGGTATCTGAGCATGGAAAACGTACAGGCTGCACAAAAAAGCAGCTGTTCATATTCTCATATTCTCAGCAACAAAGGTTGACCTGAAACAGAAAAAAATGCGTCAAGTCCAGAGGGCTTTCCAGTCAGACTATGAATCTCAAAGTAGGTCAGACTGGCTGAGGGTGTCACTTTAAGCCTTGCTCTCGGATGGTTTTTAAAAGAACTCAGGAAAGTAGTTTTCCACTCTTTACATTTTTTTGAGACTAACAGAAAGGACAGGGCTGTCATTTGAGATAGAAGCAGAACGTCTCAAAGATAATCCGATGAGCAGGGTGACTGCTTGTGTGCTAAAAACCACTTCTCTGATTCTGGAAAAAAAAAAAAGGGGGGGGGGGTGAAAATCTGTATTTGTCACTCAAAATATTGCGGGGTTTCAGACTCATTCAGATTATTGTGAATTCTGACCCGTGGGTGACACTGGAGACATTAAAAAGATGTCAACTTGTAATAACTGTAATTTTGTATTATACGATGAAAGCATATTTTAGAGAATGATATTCAGGGCTTCAGTGGGTGATCTAAGCAACATGAAAGAAGTAGAAGAGACAGTTCTTTTGTGTAGCTGTCTGAAGCAATGGATGCTGGAGTGTAGGAGCAAATCATGGGGAAGAGATGTTTACACATGAATAGACTACACCCTAAAAGGCAGCAAACAAATTACAGCTTGCTTTGTTTGCAAAAAAGAAAGAAAGAAAGAAAAAGCAAATACCTTGTATATTAAAAGTATGGTAAGTGACTTACCTCATAGTTTACTTTGCTGAGACGTGTAGTAGTGGCTTATCTGTGAGCCTGTGGGTGCGCAGACATTGTTTTAGTTTAATCTTGGTATATTTCTCAGCCTAGTGTTCAAAAGCCTGTGTGTCCAAAAGCTTTCCTTTCTGTGTGCAAAGGTGTACTCAACAGTGAACAAAATGTCACAAAAACCCAAGCTGCTCAAGACAGCAGGCACTTTCCACAATTGAGGCTATTTTTTAAATAACTACCTAAAACCCAGTAGTTCAACAAATGCCAGAGCACACTCACTGTACTGACTAGGAAAAAGGTGAAAGAAGGAAGAATTTCCCATGAAAGCTTATGGCAATGTCTGTCTCTGTCAGGCTCTCAATAAAATCCCATTCATCAATCCAAAGGTATATCACAAAGTCAGAAGTACTTCACTCAGTTTGCTTCCCATCATGTTATTCTTTATAACACTTTTTAGTACGCTGTCCCAGTTCTGTATCTCAAATGATTTATTGACTGATAGAAAAATACAAGCCAATATAAACAAAATATTCTGGTTACATCTATGTGGTGCTTTTCTAATAAAATAGTATTTGCCTAAAATTGATTTAAAGATTCAGCATCACAGTTCTCCCGGGATAAATCTGAGATCACATGGAGTATCCCTAGGTTTATACTGTGTCCTGTTTCTGTTCCTATCTTGTATGGATGCGAGCACTCAATGCTACACGTTATTTTTATAACTTCTTTTCCTTCAGGGCAAGGTACTTTATTCAATACATACATAATTTAAGCAAGACAGCGAAACCTCTCACAAGGAATAGCTCAGACAAGCAATCTTTGTCTTAAGAATGTCCCTCAACCATTTAAACATTATCCCCTGAGGCTTCTAATACAGTATTGTTCAGCCCCCGCTAAAAAGCACCACTATTAGTTACCACATTTTTCTGACAGGTTTAACACTATATATTCTGCACTGTATTTCAGAGGAAAACAAAAGGTCCATAAGGAAAAGTAACTAAAATCGTTTCTATCAGAAAACATTAACTCAACACAGGAGCTGTATAAAAGAGCTATTGGTATGTCCCTTGGATGATTCCATGGGCAGTAATACCGTGCTTACAGGTACCTGCCATGGAGCTCTACACCAACAGGGGCAGCAAGGCTTCCTGACAAAAGATTATGATCAAATTGAAGTAAGAGTAAGTCCAAGTTGTAATGATCGAGAGCTGAAAACACCAGGCTTTCTTGACAGTCTTTGTTTGAAAAATAAAACAGTTTTTAACCAGGTCTCATATTCTGCTTGCCAGCACAGAACAGGAAAAAATGCTTTACACAAAAGAACTTTTTACAATTTTCTTACTGTTTTAATTGGTGTCCAGATATTTAGAACTGAAAACTGCTCATGGTCAAGTATATGGAGAAAGCATGTGGTCTTCAGTAATCCACACCGAGGAGTTGTTCTGGGCCTGTGTGCATACAGGAGCCACTCCTGGTCACATACATGCGTGTTTCTCCCAGCAACCAGACAGGACTACCATTGAGGAGTAAGTTTATTCCTCTCAAAGTGCAGAGGCCAGAGAAACATAGAGTTAAAAAAAATTTCATTTGAAAACACATTTCCAGAAATAAAGCAATGTCAGATGGAAGCAGCACAGATATCATGACTGGAGGGAGGTGTATCCTACCTCAGGCTGCTGAGTCTGCTCACCAGTTACATTTTCCAGTGTCCTTTTTTTTTTTTTTTTTAAACCACATTGTAGTGAAGTCAGCTGTTCAGTATGGCATAAATACCAATGAACGTCAAACTTTCCTTCCCTTTCCAGCTGCCAATGAGTTTGCTTGCTTTTGCTCCCGGTACTTTTTAAAGCACATTCTGTGCAAGTGGATTTGAAGGATGTACCCTTTCTACTTTCTCAGAAAGATGTTTTAAAATTACAGAGCAGCAGAAAATACATTTTGCATAACAAACTGACTGCAGGGGCGGTGAAAACTTCATCCTTCCCTACAGTTGCAGTGCCTGTAGCTGCAGATCAGGGCCAACAGCGTAAGACAGAAACAAACCTTCCTGTCATCACTTCTGTGGACTCACCATATGCAAAGCAGATACATGGTTTCTCCTTTCTAACAAACAGGAAATTACTTCTTCCGTACCATTATTTTTTTACAACGTATGAACTATGGACCTATGATTAAACATATTCAGATGCTAGCTACAATTAAAAAATATTTCAATAAAATTCATGAGTGTATCGGGAGGAAAAAAAAACAGCTGTAAGAAATGTAATAACAAAAATCCAGGAGAACAGGCTACATAAAATATTGGAAGGGTCTTCCTGTCTTTGGAGGTAAACTGGGCTAGAGAGACACTGAGGTTCACAGTGCAGGATTTTAAGCTAAGAGTATGTGAAGGTATCACAGCTGTTAGTGTTATCCTGCAGCATTCCTGCTGCTCAGCTGCACGCCAAGCCACTGCCTCAAAGAAAGGGTGACTGTTCCAACATACCCACAGCAATCGTCTCATCACCCCTCTTCACAACTTCACTGTTGTGCCCCGAAACGATACTTCTGTCTTGTCAGTGTTTGTAACTCCTTTTGGTAAAAAGGTTCATAATATTTAAGCACCAAATTAGAACCCCAAATTGTAACCTGTTAACACATCTGACAGGAGATTATTTGGGGGGGTGTTTCGTAAACCACAGTCAATTAATCAAAAGGGAAAATTTCTGCCTCACCCCATTTCTTTTTAGTATAATTCTGTATGCATATCCTCCAGAATTTTAACTCAGCAAAGTTAGTGCCTATTACTGTGCAACTCCTTGAACACAAAGTGTTATGTAAGTGGTGAGATTATTACAAAGTTATCATTTACTACTGTAAATAATATTTAACAAGCGCAACACTATGGTAATTTGTTCATGTTGACTAAACTTAAATACTGAAAGCACCTTTTGAAATACACATTTTTAACTGACAGGAAGCAAGCAAAGGAAATTACTATTTGGGCTGAAATGTTTTAAAGAACCTTGCATTCTAATTTGCTTCATATTTTGTGTACAAACACAAGGGTCAACATTTAGAATCTGCTTTTCCGTCAATACCAATAAATCATTAATCCAATTTAAATTAATGCAAAGGGTATATACTCTGATGGAAAAGAAATGACTCACTTTTCTAACTGTTTCTGAAATCTAAAAGTCTGAAAGAGTTTTAAGATGTTGCTTGATATTGCATGTGCAAAACCACATTGAGTGTCTTCACAAGACTCCTGAAGGCCAGACATCTTCCATACCACCTCTTCCATCCACACACATTAAAGGCATTAGGTCTGTGGCCTGTTAAGCTCAGAAGTGACAACTGCTGGGAGACCATCACTCTCGTGTTTTCAAACAACTGGTCTGGATATGTGAAATTTGCAGCACTGGAAGCAATAGCTGGAAAGCATCCTGAACGTAAGTAGTACTGTTGCAGCCCTAATGGGGAGAGAAAGTGAGGTTCATCAGTTTACTTGTCATGTATTTCAGGAATTACACTGTAGTTTTAGAATAAAGTGTCTTTGTTAGATCTGCATCATGCATTATTAGCATATGTATTCCCACAGGATTTTGGAATCTGTAGATAACAAAAATGATGCATTACAATGGCTTACAGTAAATAAGAATGGCTTGTGTTGCTACATAAAAATCTAATTTTCCCTCAATTTGAACTCCTGGAGAGTTTTGTTTGTAATGTGAGTAGAATAACATGACATTGTATTCAGAAGTGGATCTGACTTTTTAATTACAAATCAACTTCCTTCCATCAAATGAACCAATTTTAAATTTGGTGTAGCTGGAAGGAGCGTCATTGAAATTAAAGTTTGAATTATTATAATGATTTAAATACACCACTTATTATCTACAGAATTTCTAACACTGAACAGCACAGCAGCTTGTAATACTTAATGAACTCAGGCAGGACTAATAGGTGCTTCTATATAATTAATGAGGTTATAGAAGTACAAAACAGCTTGTTCCACTATTCTGGTCCTTCCCAGACATTGCAAGTCCTGGTGCATATAAAGATGTGTCAGCTGCAACAGCAAATGTACCCTATTACATAAGAAATCTCTAGTAATCTTTAACAGTTTTATTCATTTTTTCCTTAAAGGTATTGAATTATGCAAAATTGCTTATTTTAAAACAACCTTTTCATCATTTTTAAAAAGAACGTGACCATTAGATGCAGAACAGCAAACTGCAGTCACTACTGTTTGTATGTTTGTTTAAAGAGATGTGATCTGATTAGCTGATGGAAGAGAGCTCAGGCTGTAGACAGTACATGTTTCAGTACTTTATGAGCATATTACTCCTACTTGACTTCTTCTCTCCATGGTAAACTGAGGGCCATTTTACTCACTGTGCTTTTCTGGTGAAAAATAGCTCACAATGAATCATAAAAGAAATCACTCATGAACATTCTGATGTCTGACATGTGGTTATCCATGCGCTGATCAGTGCAGCTGGACTGTGAATCTTAGGAGAAATCTAAATGCCTGGGGATGAGAAACTCTGCAGCATTTCTGCAACCCAAGCTTTAAAGAAAAGCACAGGCTGAAACTGTCTGTAAGCAAGAAACACTTTGTAAGATTTGAAATTGTTAACAGAGCAGTTAGAGGCAGACCTAGCCCAGGCAACTTGTGCATAAGTTAAAGAAGGGCTCAGTAGCACGTTGCAAACTTGCTGTTGTGCTCTGACCAATAAGCTGCAGAACTTAAGCTGGTCAGTCGCACTTTAGTCACACACTTTCAAGAACCTTCACAAATGCAGTATTACTACCTACAGTATTTGTGGGAGAGGCTGAACACCAAAACAAGAGGTTTCTGAGCTGGTACTCAGCAGCCAGAATGGTATCATCACTGCTTTATATAGAGTTCTGTCTTCAGACATAAGTGTGACTGTTTCATTTTGAAATAATCTTACTAGAGCATTCCTACTGTGAGAAAGGTGACAGCTTACCTCCAATAATACACTGTCAATGATGGGGTTAAGAATCTCTGCCTTCATATTGCTCTGTAAAACAGAAAATATAATGAAATGTCAGGACAAGAAATACATTTAACATAAATATATTGGTATCTGTGTGGTGCTTTTATGGATTCTTGAAAGGTCTTGTTTCACCTTGATTCTTATTCAGATTGTTTATCACATTATTCCCTTTAACTGTGCCTGTATTTCATACACACCTCAGTAGCCCCCACACATTTCTATCACTGAGTACAATGAACTGAGACAGACACAGGATTTTACTTTTTCATGTAATGCAGAGTTTCACATTGCTTGGTTTCCTACAGATATGAGATTTGTGTGATTACATTGTCTTCTCATCTGATTGCCAGTGCCCTTTTCCTCCCCCTCAATGTTTTTTAGACACTGGCTGATTTCAAGGGTAAGTAAAGTTTGGAAGGATAAGGATGTTCTTAGATGGTTCCTGAAAATCTGTGGTTAGGTGGAAGTAAAAGGCCAAAGTAGTTCCCTTTCAGAAGGAGAAACAGGTGAAGCAGACCCTCAGCCTGGAGATGGTGCAGTGGCTCCCCAGGGAAGTGGGTTAGTCACCATCCCTGGATGTGTTTAAAAACCATTTGGACGTGGTACTCAGGGACACGATTTAGCAGAGGGTTGTTAAAGTTAGGGTAGCATGGTTAGGTCGTGGTTGGACACGATGATCTTTAAGGTCTTTTCCAACCTGAGTGATTCTATGATTCTATGACAACACAGGCTGGCCAGTGAAGACGTGTGACTGGCTCAGCACACACAGCATTTTTCTCAATTACCAGCCAGAAATGAGGATGGGTACATGGAGCAGAGACGTTACTAGAGGCTACAGAATCAAAGCCCCAGAAAACCAAGAGTCATCATCTCTTCTGCTTTTCATAAAGACAAAAGTTTTTTCCTTTGTTCCTTCTCACCGTTCTATGTATTGCACTGTATTTCTTAGAATGACATTAAACTCCAGGAAGATTAGCTTTCTTCTGATGCCAAATAGCAGACTTACTTGGAACATGAAATACAATATCCATTAATTTAACTGAAGGGTGACCCCTTACAACCTTCTGGCTTTCATATTACAGACTTAAAGAAACATGACGAATCTTCATTTTAGCTCAGACATTGCAGAACAAAAGGAAGGTGGTTAAGTAAAAGAAAAGCAATTTTACTGTCAGTTATTAGGAAATCCATTACAGAAGGTACTGTGTAGTTCATTGTCAATAAACTTTGTTTCAAATAGAGAGCAGTATCAAATACTATTGACTGCATGCATCAGTAAGTTTAAATTTGAAAGACATATTACATAGCAAGAGAAGGTTCTATTTCTTAATTCTGCATTACTGCTCTGCTAGAAATACTGCAGCATTATTGAGTATGACAGACAGCACTACAACTAATATCTGAATTATAAAGGCATAGCTAATTACGATAGCACTATGTTTAGAAAAAAGTTTTCTTTTCTAAACTATTTCTGTCTCCCACAAGTCAGTGTACTTTGCAGTATACTGGAATGTGTTAAACCAAGTGCTGCTGACGGCTTAAGGAGACAACTAAGCCACTGGGACATGAAGGAAGATGCAGATTTTATTGCACTTCCTGTGTGATGGGTGCTCCTTACTTCCATGACTGGTAGTGGGGAGTAGAAGGCCCACATAGAATTGTTTGAGTTGGAAAGGACCCCTAAAAGCCATCTAGTCTAAGTCCCCTGCAATAAACAGAGACACCTTCAACTCAAACAGGGTGCTCAGAGCCCCATCCAGCCTGACTTTGGATGTCTCCAGGGATGAGGCATCCACCAATCTCAGTAACCTGTTCCAGTGCTTCACTATCAAATCATAGAAAAACATCATGCTCTAGAAGCTTGCAGGGATGTGACAGTTCTTAAACATCACCAGACAGCACAAAGCTTTCTTCTAGAGAGTATGCTGGCAGCAGGAAGTGTATTTGTTCTTGATTTCTTCCTGTGTCCATCCAAATATTCACGAGATCAATTAGGTCCTAAAATCTGGGTGAGAGAGCTGATGAGCACAAAACCTAGTGTGACGCTTATGACAGTTTCAGTTTCCAATTTTCTGAGTTGTCCCAGCTTAATATTTCATGTGAAATTTATTTTTGTTTGTGCATGCATTTATTGCAAGTGTGTCACAAAAATATGATAAAACACAATCCCAAATTGCAAAATGAGCAGATTCTTCAAGGGTAATGGGAAGGAATGTAAATTATTCAGAACAAAAGCAATCCAAGATATCTTCTCAACAAATAACTGAAAAAAAACTAAATCACTGATGTGTTGAAAGAGCTCATGGAACTGCTGTGGAAATTTCCTTTGATGTATATTCACCCTATCCTGGAGTAATTAGGAGAGCCAGGATTCTTCTCTGATCTTTATGAACAGTTTCAGCAGCAGCAAGATGTTTGCCTCTGGATCCTGTTACAACACTCAGATGTCAGTCCTTTTTAAAATATCTTATCTTGTAAGGCAGAGCCTGCACTATGGGCCCTGAAAAGACCCCCACTGCTCCCCTGCAGTGCCTGCCCATTTGTCTTCATAACAGCATTCCCTTTGCCAGTGAAAGCAAAGCAAAGGCAACGGGGTTGGGAAAGGGAAAGAAAGGACATTTCTACAGAGATGGCCACAGATAACTGGGTGTTCCCAAATGGCCTCTCTTGGGATATAAGGCTGTTTTTTTTAAGATGGAAGTCCAAGGAGAGTTATCTAATCTCTTATGAGATTGAGATAATTTTGTTTTATGGGAGTGGGAGAATAGTGAGTAGAAAGAGATTTTAGAAGGCAGAGGACATGCTGCAGTCTATCAAGGCTTATAAATTTCTAGGAACCTGCTAGGAAAAAAAGTTGTGTTCTTGATCTGAGGAAATAAGTGCCCTCTTTTTACTGGTAATACTTTCTATTTTAAGAAGTGAACTGTGTTAATGAAAGCTCAAATGGTAAAGAAAATGTTGTTTTCTTACCCCAGCTGCTGTTAAAGAATCAGAAAACTTCTTTGATAAAGATGAAACTTCATTGCACATAGCACTTGTTAAACTGTTTTAAAAAAGGAGAGACAAACACAAAATTACAACCTTTTCCTGGTAGTAGATAAAAAGCCTGTGACTACTGCAGGCACCAACTTCATCTTGGAAGCCAGAAATGTTCCTACAGCAATTTTGCCTGTAGTAATTTTTAAAATATCTCGGGGTAGATTTTGCTCATGACATGAGTTTCATATTCCTCCACTGAAAATTTCAATGCTGACTACAGCAGTAAAATGTTGTGATGTTGGCTTAAACACTGCTCTTTTTTGATAATGTTTCAATTTTTAAAATTCTAAGCTTTTAGTTTTACTGTTGTTTTTCTGATGGTTGCAGCAACACAACTCCCAGAAATACTGTTAGAAATAAATCAAACTTTAATGAGAACAGTGAGAAGATCCTTATCTAAGCACAGAAAACATCTACTCTGTACCAGAAGAGGAAGTATACTTGTGGTTAAAGTACAAGAGGAAAAAGAGACCTAGTTCTAATTCTAGATCTTTAACTGTTTTGGTAAGTATTCACAAGTATATAATATCAAACCCCACCCTGTGGAGTGCAACATACTTTTGCTCTAACTCTGCAAAGCACTTATTCGAGTACTCAGTTTTGGACTTAAGCATTTAAATGGACTTTGCTAGGGCTACTAGCCCTTAAGACAAACACTTGCTGACATATTTTACTTAGGACTCAAGTGCTTACATCTTGGAGTGAAATCCTTATGAGGCAAGCAAAACTCACTGAAATCAGCACAATCTATCACTACAGAGAGCTTTAAAACCAAATTCGGAGTTCTCCTGCATAAACTGACTTCTTAAACTTAGGTATTTTCTGTTGTGTATTACTACAAAGTCACTGATAGATAGCCTACGTGACTTGACTATGAGGAAATACAGCACAAAGTCCCCTAAAGCCAAGTGTTGTTTATTGATCCATGAACATACCGCACCTTCAAGTGTCAAAAGCTCAACAGAGCTTAATGATTTTCAAGCAAATGTCAAACAATCAGATGTGAAATACATAACACTCACTTTGTCAGTACTTTTGCTTGATCTTGAGCTGTCTTTTCTACTTCCTGCCCATGTAGAATTAATTCTGCTACTTTATGAAGCTGTTCTATACAGCGAGCAGTTACCTCAGCCAGACTTTCAATGGACAGCATGTAGATTTCCTTAAATTAAGAATAGAAAGTAATATAATCAATAATAGCAGCACTGATAAATATATATACATATATGTGTGTGTGATAATTTGAAACATAGAATACTTCTTGTCCCCAGATAGAGATACCACCACACATACACCATAAAGCCATCCTCAGAAATGGTACTGAAAAATGAAATACCCACAGATTAAAAAATACAGACCATATGGTGATCAAGAAAATCTAGTAAGAACAAATCTCTCACTTATTTGGACAGGAAATTTGTCAGGGTCTTGGATTTTCTAAAATAGGTCTTTTAAAGTCTTCCCTAACAAATACAAGGATTTCTTTACCGTAGAATAAGTCATAATGTCTTTTTTATTGAGCCTAAAGTATTGAGTCACTCATCAGATGAATTTCCACATTAGGAGTTGATAAAACTTCCAATAAAAAAGCACTTATCAGCAATGATAAAAAATAAAAAAATAAAAATCTATCTAGCACTCTGGCATCACAACTTTTCACAAGCTGGTACCAACTGGAAATTTGCAATCGCATAAATATCTGTAATATATACAGATATAACTCCATTTCCTTCTTTGGATTCTTTTTCCCCTGTAAGGAAACCATGGCAGATGATTTCTTTGTTACAATTAATTAAAAAATCTTGACAAAGATCCTACCACATTTAAAATCGTTGCAACTTTGCATAAAATATTCAGTCACAATTAACCACCTCAAGAAAAAGTGCTGTCTAAACGAACAAAACACATTTAGCCCTCAGTGTTATCCTTCAGAAAGAGAATTAGTACTTATGAATTGCTTAAATATTATTTGTTTGGTCTGTTTGTGATATGAGCTTAAGTTGAAGAATTTTTGCTTTGTACTGTGGCTGGGAGAAAGAGCTCCTAAGGACTGTAGACATTCAACCTTCCCTGTTCTTCAGATTTACACCACAGAATCTCTCCGCTCACTGCATGTTGTTTATATCCATGCAAACACAAATGTAGACAGGAAGAAAATATCAAAAGTATCAAATCCTCTGTTCATCATATTTACTCATGGGAAAAGACCATCAGTAAAAATATTTCTGTAAGTTAATTTCCTGTTGGGTCTACACTGAGCAGTTACGTATTAATTTTTCTCAATAATTCAACGAGTTTAACAAACAAGAACAACATGTAGTACCAATACATAAAGAAGTAATCTCATTTGCTTAATTAAACTTATTCTCCAAAGGTATTTTACCTCCACAGTTTTGCTTTTATTTAATTCTGATTTATCACTGTCACTTTTGTCTTTTCCTTTTTCAGTCTTTTCTTCATCGGGTTCTCCAGGTTTTTCTTTTAGTTTCTCTTCTATGTCTGCTGAGGTGGATAAACTGGCTTCTTCCAGCCACTCATGAGCTTTCATCCTAGCCTGCCAAAGAACCCAACCCCAAAGTACAGTTAAAATAGGCAATATCAAATAATGTTCCTAAGTACTAATTAACAGTGCATTATTATTTTTATTCAGAGATTTTAAACATATCAAGCCTCTGGGTGGCATTTAGTTCAGTGTGTTTTCAAAAAATTGTAGTGAGAAGTATTTCTGGCTACATACAGATGGATCAGCCAGGGATCAATCCCGTACAGGTATGAAGATCTTAGCCAACACAAAGAATTAGTGTTAATATCTATGAATATTTCAAAATGATTAATATTTCAGCTTAAGGAGGATTGTTCAAAGGAATTTACATGGAAATAACTTTCTCAAATTAAGAAGAGGTTGGTATAAAGAAAGGCAAAAAATATTGGAGAGTTAAGAGAGTCATCCCAAATTCTTAAAAGAAAAATAATTAGAAAAATCCCTGTATTTCCTGCTACCTTCCCAGGCATGAAAGTAGATTAAAGTGGAAAAAACCTTAAAGTTGTATCCAAGCTTCTGAGACAACTTTTGTAGTTAGTAGGAAATTTACTATTTCTCTTTTCAAAGATAAAGTTGAATTAAAACATGTAACAACCTAAGCCTAAACTGGTTATCAGTAAGCTATCTATGCAGATAGAGAGAAAAACATTCAACTGAGCCTAAGATCAGCAGATGAATTACCTTTAAGGGTGCTTGATAGCAAAAAAAAAAAAAAAAAAAAAAAAAAAAAAAAAAAGTGATTTTTAGATGATTAAAGCTTGATGAGCTTTAAAGCTTGATGAGATTAAAGCTCCTTTCTAGCTGAGAAGGAGAAGGTCTGGAGAAGTCTTTCAGGAACATCCTCCTGAACTTTGCCACTGTTCTTCATACCTAAGACCAAGTCTGCTGATCTCTGTTCTGCTGAGACTTACCCGCTTCAAGATTTTCTAACATGGCCTACTGTGCTAGTTGGGCATTTCGACTGTATTCCTCACTAATCTCAGCTCTTCTGTGAAAGTATTCATACTTTTAGTCCCACCCTCCCATACTACAGTCTTCTGAACTGTCTGATCTGAGCTAGCTACAGTTCTGTGTCAGACCAGAACAAAGATATCCCTCTTTGCCCAAGCTCTCTGACAAGAACCAACCTTGTTCAGTTTGTCAGGAGTTGCAGCCACATGTAATTCAAATAGCAGCTCGGTGAGCATGCTGACAAACTCTTCTCCCATATCTGCTGCAAGAGAAAAACACTTTTTGTTATCATTAATGTTTGACACAATCTAGTCAAAAAGGTTCTGCAAACACTCTAGAACTTGAAGACTGGTAACAATGATATAAGGAAAGGGGAGATGCTCAAAGAGGAGAGAAAGCAAGACATAGCTATACAGTCAGATGTCCTAGCTTGACACTGACTATTCTTTCTACTTCATTTTAAATTCTGCTATATTTCTCTAAGACAGGTAAGCAAGAAGTTGCATGCTTCCTAGTTACCTGATGAAAATGCACAACCCAGCAAGTAGCCAAAGAAGAGATACCAATCTTTTAAGCCAAGGAATAAAAACTGCATTAGGGCCAGATACTGATACAGTCAGTCTCAGATGAAACACTGAAAAAATATGTTCTCAATTATTCTGTCTGCAAAACACAGCTAAGAAATATGTTTTCTTTAGACTTCAAGATTGAGTTTTGCTTAAATGAAGATTTTTTTTTTTTTTTTTTGAGAAATGAGTTTTACACCTGGATCTTTATTGCACAAGGTAAATACCACTGGTATTTGAACTTTGCCTATGTTATATACATCCTTTTGACCACCTGCAGTTGCCACTGACTAGCATGCTCCAGGCTCCTAGAAGTTGGTAAATAAGGTTCCTCTGTTAAGCTACACTGACTGAGTTTGGAATCTTCATTAACATTTCCTTGTGGAATATGCAAAATCCATTTTTTTAGCTTAATAACTTTAAAAAAAAAAATCAAAGTCCCCCAAGTGAGCCTGATAAAAGTCCAGCTACTTCAAAAATTAAGTTTCATGTCTTGCTTTGTCCTTTCTTTGTTTCTGTTTTAGACACACTGAATTCACTTGTTTTTAAGACAATGCCAAATTGTTCTATAAACTGCAGCGCAATGAAAACAGATAGGCAGTTCACCAGATCACTGCAGAGTTGGCAAAGTTGTTGATAACTGGCATATTCATCTCAATAATTTCCTCCCTTAACCTCATGTGCTTGCACATGAAATCTTTGCTGTTAATGGCTTTCCAAATGTAGGCAAAGCTGCTTCTCTCATTATTTCATGAACAGCTGAAAAGGAAAAAATGCTGCAGTGAAAATCTCATGAAAGGGCTGCACAATCACAGTGCAAGGAAAACATCAGAAAAACAAGGGCTTTCTCCTACTGATATCAAAAAATATTCTTTTCCTTTCTTTTCCTGTTGATTTTCTACCTCTCACTGAGCTTAGCACAGATATAAAAAACATCAAACCCCAGTTTTAAAGTTTTAAAGTCAAGAACAAAGTCCAGCCCCACTCCTTTCCCAAAGCAGCCCTCCAAGGATCACTGCAGTGATTTCTCCTTGTGTTGGACTGAAAGTGTTTAATTTAGAAACTGAAAGCCACACTAACATCTCTGAACAAAATCTTAAGAGCTTACATAAAACCAATGGCCACTCTTCTTCAGATACTCAAATACAAGACGCTGACTTTCCCCTCAACCTATTTTATATATATATATATACACATACACACACATACATACACACACATGTATATAGCATGGTAAATGACACCACATAAATAACATGACCCTGATTACAAGAAGCTGGCAAAAAATTAGTCAATAAGTGGTAATTAACTTGTTTGTAAAATATTGCTCAGTTCCTAGCTAAGTTTTAACATCTTCAGACACCAATAGATATTCTCTGGCTTCCGCAAGAGTGTGGCTTCACCATATAAAGGAAAAAACCTACAAGTTTTATCAAGCATAGAAGCATGGAAAAACCTATGAAAGGTAAGTTTGTCACTGCTTTAAGCTAACTAGCAAGGAGGACCAAACTCAAAATTCTTTCCTAAGTTTTAACACAGTCTGCTCCTCCCTCTTACTAGATGACCAAGTTTAAGCAAAACTACATACTTTTGTAATAAAAATATGCCATTAAATGAATATATGGCTTGCAGACTTGATTTTGTAAGCATAAAATCTATTATGTTCTTAATAGGACCTTGCTTAGCACAAACTAGAATGGAGCCTCCTCTTTAGAGCAAGACACAAGCTGCCTTTAATCCTGACCAACCAACCTGTTGTTAAACTGTACTTTTACCTATGCTGGATGCCAAATGATGTTCAAAATTTCTCCTAACATTAAACACAGACTACTTGCTTAGCGTAAATTAAAAGATCAAGTGCGCTTTCAGACAGAAATATGCATTGGTTCACTCCTAAGAGCAAAATGTGATTATTAAGCAGGACTAGAGAGGGCTGCTGGAACATAACTTGAGTTACATAAAGATTGGCAAACTAAAGTCTGAGTTGATTATGAAGTAGTTGAACAATACTGTGCTTTGGGGAAATAGACATGCAAATCCCACCCAGTGTTATATGTAAAAGCACTAGATATTGTTTTTATCTGAAAATGGCAGACAGCTGTCATGTAAGGGTCTATTCATAGAAGCCCTCAAGTTTTTGAGTTTTTTTTTTGCATCTGCTGTTCTTGATAAAAAACACTGCAGATGCTATGCACTTGCAACTCAATAAAAGGTCTGTTTTCCCTGACTCGGGAAGTTTTTTGAAGCTCCTAAGAAGCCTTCACTCCCTCTGACAGATTTTAATGAAGATAACACATTTTTGTGACTAGGACCCAGACTGGGACATTGCCTCAAGGGGTCATGTCAAAGCACTGCATGGAGTTCAGAGCGCTCTCTCTGCAGTGCTGCATGTACTCTGGGTTAGAGATGAGGCTGAAGAAATGTCACAATCTCCAGTCAGGAGACTGAAGAATGCAATGCCAAAGGGTGATTAACTTCTTTATTTTTTGTGTCCTCCAATGGAACTAAAAGTCATTCAACTTAACAGCAATAGATGAAATTTATCTGTAGTTCAAGTACGAATAAATATGGAGTCTGGCTGCATAGAAGGACAAGCATCATTTTGAATTGCACCTGAACTAACACACATCTCACCGCAAGGTGGTGGACAGGGTGCAGTTAGCATTCCTGCTGTCCCAGAGAGGAGATGTTTGTGCAGACAACCTGCAGCACTCTGATTTTGTTCTTTTTTTCTTAAGGTGCTCATTGCCTTGGTGCCAGCATGTTTAAGAAGGTTTAAGAAGGCAGTTAATGTTTCAAGCAGAGTGCTAAAGCAGATTTGTTTCACAAAAAAAAAAAAAACAACCAACCAACCACCAGAACATCTAACCACCAGAGTAAATACTGCTTCATGCAAGAAACAAAGCTTTTCATGGGGTCTGGTTTCACAGCAAGAAGCTATTTCCCACAGAAGTTAAGGCACAACACGTCATGAATCCTTGCTCTAAAACAGCACAAAACTCATCCATACTAAGACATCACACTGAACGCCTGCTGCTCCTCTGAGAAGCAATAGTCCACCTGTGAGAGACATTACTCATAGTGCATAAGCACTGCTAGAAAGAATGCAGTCTGGAAAAGATCTTTCAGTTGAAGTATGTGGATGTAAACACAGTTTCTCTGCCTTTTCTGAAGGGCAGAGAAGTGACACCTCACCATCTTGCAGAATGTAGGTTTATGAGCAAAGCATCTGTGAGAAGATCATAAAGATGTGAAGAAATATCTTTTAAAGTAAGATTCTGAATAAAGTGTTTAATGGCTTCAGTCAAGGGGATTCTTTTTATTTGCTAGAATGTGTTAGGTATGGATCTCACAGGCCTGGAGACACAAATTGTGGTAACTTTTCCTGATCTCAGCCTATTCTGGGGAATGCCTGAAGTCCTGACCTGCTTAAGACACCTATATTGCCACTAGCCAGATGATCCACATGTTTTACCATCAATTTTGTGAGCTGTTCTATGGATTACCATGTTAGTCCCAGATGGTTCAATGTTGTGCACAGTGATATTTAAGGCGTGCTCCTGCTTATTAACTTATTTCTAATGCTCTATATGCCACATCTTGCCAAGCAATATCTAGAAGGTAGCTTTGCCACACTGTTTCAAAGCACTTTTCCTTCAGAATGTTCAGCTTTTCTAGGTCCCCTTAATTAGATTCTAATCCTTTCCCTACCTAGCAAGCAAGGGTGCAAAGCCAGGATGAAACTGCTAAATGGAAAAGCATTGCTAAACAATCCTAACCTTTCTGATTAACAGTTTTACAAACAGACTCCATAAGAAAGCCTCAGTCAGATTATTTTCCCTTTTTATTTCTGTTTTCAATGATGATATGGCAAAATAGTATAATACATTCTTACCTTGTATTTTCTTTACCTCACACTTCAATTACAACATAAATCCAATATTAAGTGTTCTTCCAACTTCCAGAACATCAAGAGTATTCATTTTAGTGACTTTCTCATGAGGAGTATTGAGATAACAGACATTAGTTTGGATTGCAATTTTTAAAATGACTACATACAGAAGCAATAATTGTTTATATGGTTAGTTCTCTGCATTTCTAATTACCTTTCTGTGCCTGAACCACTTCATCATCCGATTCCATTGGAAGAAAAATCTCCTTTATAGCAATTAAATCATTTTTCACAACCTCCAATTGTTCTCCATCAAGTGTTTCCAAATATGACTGAATCTGTAAAAGAAAGGATGAGCATCCCTAAATGAAACAGGGCCTTTCTTAAAATGATAATTTTGAATCTGATGCCAAAACAGGTTTAGTGGAAACTTCCATTAAATCCAAATACCTCTAACGTTCCAAAATACATAGGTATATTTTTAGTTCTCATAAAAAAACTGATGATCATCACGAAAATTAAACAAGCCTTGCAAAACCATCAGGTCTTTACTTTCAAGCAGAGCAGTTACTCTGAATTATAAAACTGTGGTTTAATTGCAAGCTGTAATACATTTGAGATTGTTTGGTGTAAAGACTGTTGGCAAGAAGAGCACAGACAATTCAGGCCTAGTTGGAACAACCATGGGAAGAGCTGGAAAAAAAAAATACCTGTTTTTGTTCCCTCAGAATCCCACCAAAATTTATTGACAGTGTACTGATAAACCTATTCTGAAGAATGTATTGAGAGATCTTTTGAGATATCCATAGGTATCTCAGATGCGTGCAGCTCCCTGCATATGTAATGTAATAGAACACCCAGGAGAGATGGAAACATTATTTTAATCACTGTATGCATTGCACTAATGTATTAATCTCATGATGCTACTCTCTACTTGTGACTGGCGAGTCAAAAAATGCATTGTCTCCCTTGCTTTCCTCCTGTGGCCCAGAGTGTGGCTTTCAGGCTGCTAACTTGGGTCTCAATACTATAGGTTCTGGGGATGTGTAGTGTGGTGTACTTGGAATACGTTCTCTGAGCCTTCTGGAATATATATCAGGCAATTGGACTTGTTGACCCAGGCAGTTGCATTCAGTCTTGTGTGCTTATATCCTCTTTCAGATAGAGGAAAAAGCAGGACTGTGAACAAGTTATCTAGGAGTTATCTAAGACACAACATGTAGCAATCAGAAACCCCATGGTTATAAGTTATGCAAGTATTACCCAGGGGTATCTCACAGTAAAAGTGTTGACAGATCCATTGGCCTGAACTTGTTTACTATATATTACTTTCCTGTTTTGTAAGATGTTTTGGTTTTGTTCATTTTTAAAAGAAGGCTCTTGAACCTTACATAGGGGCTTTGAATTTATAATGTTGTTTTCAGACATAACTGTAGAAAACAAAAAAAAAAAGTGGACAGTATATACCTGGCTTCTATTAAAATGAGCTTCTATTATCTGTGTTTTTTGAATTAAAAACCACCCAGAGAGCAAGGAGTGCTGACTACAAAAATAAAACAAAAGAAAACATTTTAAGAAATAAATTCAGAAAAATGTTTCAGTATAAAATTCCACCGATGGGAATCTACAGCAGTTCTATTACTCTACGGTCAGTGATCTAGTAGCAGCACAAATAACTCGACAACTGAAATTAAAAAGCAACCCTGTATCAGACAGGTGTGAGTAACTTCAGGATGTTTTTTGGAGAGACATGCAGCATTTGAATACTCCCAGTAATGGAATTAGTCTTGAGGTAGTCCTATGTAAGCTTAAACTGAAACAGAAAGATGACTTAGGAATTGAATAACTAATCTGGAATTCATTTTAACTCGCTATCCTCCAGCTGCAGTATGTCTGAAATTCCTGAATGTAAATATCGATGCCTGATACAAAAACAAAAGACTTGAGCCCCCTTGAAATTCTGGAAAGACATCTGCCTGCATAGCATCACAAGCTGAAAGATATCTGCTATATGATCAACAGAAATAATTTTCAGTTGTGAAGCTGTTTCTTTTGAGCTAATCTTTGAGTTAAATTCTAAGCGTATTGAAATAATTTCCTGAAGATACAAACTGGCTGGCCCCTGAGACCAAACCAGCTTTCTCTGAAGCTGATGGAAAACTTATTACTGTTCATTTCACATGCAACTGCACAGCAAAATGAAAGTAAAGAAAGTTTTGTACCAGTTATTGTGATTTATCCAGTCGGCATACTGTACCTGGTTTTCACTTTCATTTGACAAGATTTCTAGAGCTTCTAGATGAGACAAGCCCTGGAACTCATCAAAAAGCAGTCCATAGTGTGCTGTTCTTTCAACTGTAACTTGCTGGGCCCGTCTCTGTTTCTCTTTTTCTTTAGCTTCTCGCAGCAGCTGCAAAAATACACATCATTCCTGTTGTTTTTATTGGTGGCACTGTAGCTATGACAGATTTTATTACATTCTGCTTCCGCTTGTTTGGAAAGTAGTAATAAAATTTGGGACTATATCACACCTGCAGAAATACCCAACCTTTTTTTTATAAACAAGTCTAATAAAATATTTATGTAGCATTATAAGTGTGTTTTTCCCCCCCAGTAGTAATTGCTAGCCTTTTTTTAAAAAAAAAAAAACAATGAGCAAACAAATAATCTTTATGTCTTCAAAAGCAATGTCTGCTATGAATACCATCTCATAAATGTATCTACAATGGAAGAAAACTAAAAAATATTTCATATGCAACCTTAAAGACTACTGCAATCCATTCCACAGACCACAAAATGTAAAGAATATTATTTCAAGGCCTACCTACCTGTCTGCATAAGAAAAAGTGTATCTACATAAATATTTCCTATGTACATAAAAGATTTTTAGTAGATACTAAAATTGTTTTTGTGACAGCAAGACTGACAAGAGAGACCTAATTAGGCACGTTGTTTCCAAGGATGGGGCAGAACTATACTGCATATACTTGGAGATATTTTGGACTGATTTTCTTATAAAGCAGACCTTCCAGGAAAGCGTGGTCTCTTGTATGAATTTGCCACTGTAAAGTCCTTCAGTACAGCTCAACTCCATCTTAAATCACCTATAAACCTGTATATAGGTAAATTCACACCACATACTGTTGTATCATTCAAAATTTCTATGACAAAAGACTGAGGAGATTTTTCAGTCTCCACCATGAAAAAGTTAATCACACATTGTACGTTTTATGTACAGATCATCTATAATGAAGCACCATGTTATGAAAACCATGAAAATCAGTATGTACCACTTTCTGTATCAGATTTTATGGGTGGATATATGCATATTATTTAGGAAAGTATTCTCAAAGGCTCACTTTAAGCCTACATGTGTACCTTTATTAGGCTGCCTGTATAGTCTGCAGAATGGCTTAAACTGCTTATAGGCCAGTTTAAAGCTAAACCCAATTTAGTCTGCTCTACCTGTACTGACTAACAAATTACAAAGCATCAGGAGTGGCTAGGGCTCAATCATTTAAAATGTCAAATTGTTTTGCTTCTGAAAGATCTGTCGTGTACAGACAGTATCAGACTTATTTTAATCATTCTTCATACTTGATTTTGGAGTTACTTTACGACCCTACTTGTCTCTTTCATTTTCATGTGTTTAAAAATATTTGGAACATTGAAATTAAAGAAAAGTCAACAACAAAACCTATTGCGTTAGAAACAGCCAGCATTTCATATATGGTATCAAATACGCCTGTATAAACAGCTTTGTGTTTAAATATGTGAATGCTACAATCTAGATAGCTTTTCCCAGATAGATCAAAGTTTTCAGTCTTCATAGGAACCACTTTCATTACTGCAGATCTAGTGCCATTACAGCGAAGTGCTTTTGGATGCCTTCCACAAAATACACTCTTCAAACTTAAGCTTGAGCACAATGGCTACAAGTACTTAATTAGACATACACATCCAGAACTGCACCACAGCAGACTTCAGTGTGATACTGAGATTGCAGTTATGCCTATGTGTATTTTCCCTTTATCAGTGCTAACTTCAAAAGAATGCTGCTGCAACAGATTTATGTCATACACGTAACTACATTCACATTCTCTACAAGAATTACTTGTTTTTGGCCCGCTATGACAGTAACAGTCTGTTTCAACTTAAAACGCCCATTACTAAAGATGAAACATCTCATTAAAAGAAGAATCCTTTACCACTCTCTACAAGGGAGTGAATGTAAAAATCAAAGTTTCTTTTCCATGTGTATTGATTTCTGTAGCTTTCTTCCCCTCAGGAGAGCTAAAATGGTTTTGTACCAGTAGCGCATGTACTGCTGTTCTATTACCATGTCTCTAATCTTTAAAGATACAAATCATAACATGACTCCTCTCCAAGGGTACCTTTAGTTTACTTGGACATAAGATGCCCCTTTTTGCAGCTTTGATTCCTAATGAACCAGACATCATATTCCATTTTTACTCATTTTCGAGTAAAGTAATACCGTGATGCTTATGCTGGAAGACAGCTATCTACAGCTGTTACAAAAATGATAACAATTTGATTGTCTCTCTGGAGCATTATGGTTTATTACCACATATATTATCTCATCAACTATACTGAATACAATTATGCAGAAAGGATACATCACCTTTTGTAATATCTGTGAAGAAAAAAGCTGGAGCAAATACAAAGTATAATATTTATTTTCATAAGCCTAGCCAATATCTACTGCAATAAATAAAGCCTCTCCCTGAGGCATCTGAAATTCTGGAAAATGAATGTGAAACTGCAGTGACAGTGTTGTATTAAAATAAATCCAACCTGAGACAGAGAAACTGTTCTTGCCATCAGTGTTTTTGTTCTCTTAAATCCAGGATCACTTTCCGCAAGGACATTCATGGTTGTCTTCCCAATAAATTCCAAAGCATCTAAGCCTCCAGATAATACACTTTTCCCCTGTATAAAAGAATGAAATGTGGTTATTTCCTTTCCACTTTATGCTAATAGGAACTGTAAAGAGTATTACATTTACTGACAACATCTTAGGAGATTCAGCTCCCTAGATTTTCTCTGCTCTAGCTAACAATAGGATTTCTGTGCTCATACAATTATGTTACAATGTTCTGAATACATTTTCAGTAAATAAAACTACATAAATATTTGTAGTTAATTAAAAGCCCCACACAAGAAGAACTGAAACTTGTTGACAATGGAAAATTTTAAGAACACCACTTTCATTTCATCTTAAGCAGCAGCTAATCTTTGGGAACATTTTAGGCAAGAAAAATTTGGAGTCAAAGCCTACCATGAACAGAATGAGACTGCCTTATTGATTTCTAAAATTTTAGTGTGATTATTCTGGAAACATCTATAGAAATACAGTTGTTTTTCCTGTGTATTTTTACTAGCATTATTCCCATGCTCACAATTTTTCAGCTACATTGAAAATGAATTTCTATTGGCTAATGATTTCAGTTTCAGTGGAAATAACTATAAATAGGCTTATTAGAAAGCTGTCTTTACAAAGACCTACAACCCAACAAACAGTAATTGTTAAATGTGACCTGCACTGAACTAAAAATTATGGAAAATCCCTAGAGAAGAGAGGCCCACTAAAACAACTCACTGTGTTCTGTACAACATTACTGATAGCTGACAACATCCCACGAGATCCAGATGAAGGAGAAGGAGGAATATTATCAGAAGAGCTTTGGTCAGGAGAATCTTCTCTTTCTAACAAACAACAACAAATAGAATTTTTTTCAAAAAGGGAGCAAGCTAGAGCATCTTTTCACCTCTAAAAGTCACAAGTTACAGTAAATGGGATCCTGTGATCAAAATCTTAATTCTGTGAATTGAATTAATTTGGCAGTGTCAAAAGTATCAAAGATTTCAGTGAATTTAAACCTACGTGTAAGCGATGTTTCAGCCACAGGATGCTCTCCTCCTTCTGAAGATGCTGAACTTGCATGATGAATTCCTAGGGTAGTTCCTGCTTTTTCCTTTACTGCTGTTATCCCATGACCTGCAGCAAAAATGCACTTTAGATGATATGATGTGAAAAGTGATTCCTAACAGTGCATTACATCCTCATGTACCATGAATGATCACCAAAAATAACTCGCAATCAGAGTAAGTATTGAACTACCTCACTTGCTTATTTTCTAGGTCAATAATTCACTTGTCCTCCTACATCCAGTACATTAGCTGACTAGAAATGATAAAGCTAAAATGTAATACAAAAAACTCTAGATGAAAAATGTTTCCTGCATAGTGCACACTCACTGCATCACTTTCAAAGCTAATCATTTCCAGCAGTAGGACAACAGAGTACCTTAATTATCTGTCCAGGAAAAGTATTAATGACAGGTCATTACTTCTTTGCCCCTCTACCTAAAATTGAACTGTGACTACATAAATAATTTCATAGAGCCATTAATACAGATACTCTATTTTATATCCTATCTAAATATACATGTATACATATATATGTGTATATATAGTCATACAAATATTACTCTCGAAAATCTCATTAAAGAAAGACGTAGAAAAGATATCTGGAATGGAATAAGAAGGAAAGCTTAAATTTATGATTCATGATTTTCATGTGGGTTGGACATCAGATGCTCAACGAGTTCAATAATAAATATACTACAGAAACCATATGGGAAGTAGCACTACTGAAATATGGCATAGAAGAAAACTGGAGTATCTGCAGGAAAATACAAAGAAAACATGCTCCCTTAGGAACAGAGTGCCAGAAACAAGTAGTTTATACTCTCATATAAAAAATGACATCAGGTCCTAACATTTTACACAAACAGACAAGGCACGTAAATGCTCTTACCTGTCTAAAGAAAATACGGCCTTTGTCTATTTTATCTCATGTCTTACAACTGCAAAGGACATGCTAGGTTATCTGCCACAGCAGTGTATATCACTGCTGGGTAAGTCCTTCCTTCCGTGAAGTCTGCTCTAATGCAGATACAGTGAAGTACTGCTCCGTCTAATCCCAATCTCCCGGGCATTTTAATTGGTTCAATGGAAACATTAGCATGAATAGATTCTCAAATAACTTCTTTACCCAGATTCCCAGGACTCACTTAAATAACTGCTAACCATGCTGATAAATTTAAGTAAAAGATACTTGGTAACACATTCCTTTCCATTTCTGCTGCTCACAAGTTTTTAAAATCAACAAGAGAATTCCATTCTTTCCATTGATATAAATTTCTTACAGATTTTGACTTGAAAACTAAACATTACCATCTGTAATTATACAAAAATTTAAGTTTGTGTCAATTTATGGATTTGCATAAATTATGATTTTGCAGATGAGCTTATATCCCCATAGCCTTATAACACACAGCATTTTCAAGGCCGTGTTTACATGCGCTACAATGACAAGAAAGTCTTTCAGGTCAGCTACAAGTGGTTTTGCAGAACTGAGCTGCATGGCACATTACCTTTAGCTACAACAAAACCACCAGATGAAAACAGAATACTGCAACTGAAGCAACACAGCACTGTTAAGATATGCACACACATACCACACAAATATCACAGAACTACATGCTGTGTTGGAAATGAAAGTGATTATCCATGATTCCATAATGCACAAAAACACAAGGGGCTATGAGAGAAAAGCCTACATTTTAGGTGGCAACAGAACACTGTTTATTTCATAACATAACTGAACTGATACTGTAAACTTGGAAACACCTCAGATGACCCTATTTACTCATCTGTAATAGCAGAAGTTGAAGAGCTTTAGTAGGCATGTGGTTTGCTTTTGTCTTGTTGGTTTTGTTTTTCTTGCCTGAATTATTTTTTTCTTTACTGGTAATTTTAGCAGAATATTATTGTTCAGCTAGAAAACTGCCTTCCTTCTATTTAAAATTCTGGTGAGACTTAAGCTATCCAGTCTGTAAATCATGAATAATTCCAACTAAAGCTCTGAAGTGAAACCATTTTCAGAACTCCTTATAGAATTTATAAAAGCTTTTAATGAGATAGTAATAGATATATATGCTATTGCAACAGTTTTTTTTTTTTTTTGTATCTCAACCTCTTCCACATCATAAAACATAAAGAAAACAAATGGGACAGCAAGGCTTGTAGAAGATAGTAGCTTTCCTAAAGCTAGTAGATAGCTTAGTTGGAAAAAAAACCCACAAGCTTTCAAGCACACAAGCTGCTTTTCAAAAACAAAAGTCACAAGCTTCAAATAGAGACTGAGAAGGTATTTTCCTCACTTAAGCCTTTGGGCTTAAAGTTTGATGCTATAGCTAGGCCAACCTAATGGCTTCCTGATGCTGGTATGGGAGGTCCTGTTCCTTCTGCTTTCCACATTTGTCCATTCTGCCTGCCCTTGCACTTAACTCATCCCACAGCAAATTGGTTCAAGGTACTGAAGAGGCAGAAAATGCATTTCTCATTCCTCTATTGAGATTCTTATGCCAATAAACCTGGAGGTTATTCTTACTGATGTAAGAGGTTAATATCAGGTTTTCAGAAAGGCATGAGCACTGGCACATGGAAGAGAAAGAAACATGCAAGGAAAAGAGAGCTGCAGGTCATTTCAGTGGCTGCTAGCCATTAGATTGGTTTAACTTGCACTGGTAACCCAGTGTTAAAGTCTTACCAGCTGTTAATTAAAAACTGGATTGTGTAATTGCTGATTACTAAGCAGTACAATTTAAGAGAAAGAGAGTAAAATGACAATAACTACAAAATCATGTCTCAAGATCACAGTGAGCTTACTTCTCCCACTTCATTCTCCCAGCTACTGTGATGAATTGTCTCCACTGTGGCTCCACAGATGGAAAAAAAAAAAAAACTTCCTGTGCATTTTAAAAACAAAATTATCTCAGTAAATATGGCACAGCCAATTACTTTCTTAGTGTGACACCTAGTGTCAGACACCATACATGGCTCAGGCAGTGACATTATGGAGGCATTATGGAACCTGCTGCATGCAGGAGTGTCACACACCTGCCTATCACAGGCAGAAATGCCAGGGAAAGGGACCTTGATCAAAAAACCATTGAAGTCAGTTCAAAGCTAAAAGACTTCAGAAGACAAAACCACCATCAAAACAACCAGTAGCAATATATAGTGTTAGTTAAGGAGAGAATATGCAAACTACAGGGAAACTACTGCTGGAAACTAAAATCAACAATGCCAAATGTACAGCCACACAGTAAAAACACCGATTTGTCTGGAAGCTCTAAATCAGGGTCTGAAGGATAATGAGACTGAGATCCTTGAACAACAATTTCAGTTCAGTCTTAGGGAGAAAGTATTTGGCAAGAGCTGAATATATTTAGGGCTTCAGTACATTATCTAGCCCAACCCAAGTTGTTTCTTATATTTTTACACTGTACAATTTTGAAAACAGAAAAACAGGAATGGGAAATACTTGTCACACCTGACCAGACAAGAAGCTGGGTTATACAAAGGCAGCAACAGAGAGAAAGAAAAAAAATCATATATTGAAGGTGTTGATAAAAGCCTAATTCCACAAAAACAGCTTCCCTTGTACTATGTGCTACACTAAAACAATTAGCATCATTTAAATGAACTGAATTATGGCAAATCCATTTTCTGCTGTAGAACAGGAGATTAAGCTGCTCTGTTATTGGCTGAACTGCTCACTCAGATATTAAACAGAATAACTTCAAAGTGGAATAATAAATATTTAATAAAAAGAAGAAAGGTTATAGAAATTCCCAATAGCTTTTTTCTTCTTTCTCTCTGCTTCTTGCTAAGGGCTACCATACTGATCAGATACACAGTACACCCAGTCCCATGTCATGTCTGTGATGGTGACAGGCACAAATACTTCACAGGATCAAGCATGAATTTTTGTAACAAACACCTAGGAAGTAAGCCATCTATGTACTCTATTACTTGTTGCATTGATTTCCTAGAGCAAATGTAAGAGAATGCATGTGGCATGTTGAGTTATTTTAGGTTCAGTGAACTATATACATTATGTTTGATTTAGCATCCAAAGCTATAATCTCATAGAAAATAAATATAAATGTTGTTAATTAAGATTTAGTATGCAATATCAGACTTAGACTATCTTGTAAGGAAAAAAAACAAATGGAAATAACATATCTGACTATGGGGTGCATGAATGTAAATTTGATTTCTGCTTCATTCAATGAATATTTTATTTAATAAATTCCTACAGGAGAGTTAGATTCAAAATTATTAGATGTTAATACAGGAACTCAACCCTACCTGGACCACAGGGTCAGAAAGTGTCTCTGACATGTAGGCTCCAGGAAATAGGAAAATAGGGGAGGTGTTGCATGTTTTTTAGACTGTCTCCCAGTAAACTAAATAGCAGACAGACCCTTGCTGTGACATAGTGCAACCTTCCACATGAGAAATTTATCTTAAAATTTTCTTATTTTCCTTTCTGCTTTTGGATACTCCTTCACCTAGGCAACTTGATCTGCTTCAACAACACACTTTTAAAAATAATAATCATGTTGCAAATATATAGGTGACATTCATATGGCCATTTAAAATAGATAGTATCACACAATCTTATTGAGTCAGACTGCCTAGGCATCACAATTTTTGCATATTTACACCCACTGAAAATTAGTTACAATGTTGACGCAGCATGGTATTTCATGTCAATTAAGAATGAATTTTTGACATATGCATGAACCAATACTTCACACAGCCTACAAAAAAACCAAGATGATATAAAATACAACACGGCAATTCACAGATACACAATGCTGGCAGCTTTACAGAAAAAGCACCAAACAGCTGTAAATAGGATGTCCTGTTTACTTACCAGACAATAAGAAGGAGAACAACACACATTATTGTTTGTCTCCCAAACCTTTTCCAACATCCAACAAAGTATTCATCGCTTTCAGGCAAGCTCATGTCTGTTTTGCAAGAAAGTATCAAAGGCTCTGTTGCCCCACAGGAAAAGTATGTACTTTGATACTAAACTCATTGCTCTGCAAAGCTGAGACTTTTTAGCAATAGAATACTGTAAGTGGGATCGCCTCTGCAAGTCTACAGAAACAATGTCCATTTGGACACTGTGGTATTAGAACTCGTAACATTAGAATCTCTGTTACAAGGCTGTTCACTGCAAAATCTGAACAGAATGTACACATGGCTACCTCACTGGTGAAAAATTAGTCTCCTGAAAGAGTAATGTTCTAAGAGATCCAATACTGCGACTATTAAAATGAACTGAGGTAGTTAATCCCCATGACAATTTCCACTGGTGCAATCCGGAATTACTTTTACACACATAAGTTGTCCTCTTTTGTTATTTACACTAAACCCAACTTGTTTCAGAATGTTGTTAGCTCAGAGCAACCTGTCAAAGCATCATCTTTTATTCCATCTACTAATAATGTTTCAACACACCCTTCTACAAGTCTGAAAGTGAAGCACTGAACTTTATGGTTTAATACAAGCTGAGAACACACGCAGTTCCACAGCTAGTTAAGATGCCTTTGTACCCATCTATACATTCCTTGTGTTCCTGCCATTCCATTCACACTAGCAGTAGCATTTTGGTGATCAAATGGTGAGCCATACTAGGGAATTAAGAAAATAATCTAGATGAAAATCCAGGTCTCATTCATTTCTACTTTCTAAAATCAGTCCAAAAACCAGCTCCCTCCATCACTCCATGAAAGTGATTATTAGAGTAAGAGAAGGATGAAATACACTGCCTTTCAACAGAAACCTTTGTTTATATCAGTTTAAAACATCTTAGAAACACATTCTAAGATTATTAGAGATGTAAACTGGTGGATGACCTGAAGAACATAGTTGGAAACCAATGGGTACAGGTGAAAATAGTGATGATAGGGAAGTCCCCTCTTCCTCCGAGGAACAGACAGAAGGAGCTTACTGTCCAAGGAGAACAGGAAGAAGAACAGGAAGGAGAACTACTTAACCCTACATGTGGTATTAAACCAGTAACTCCATTGAATCCATAGTTTTCAGTAACTAGCAATTAATTTGAATTCCTAGTGTAACAATCAGAAAGATCAACACAGTGGAATGGTGATACAGGAGGTGTAATAACAAAAGGATCAGTGCAGTGGAAAGGTGCTCACCTGTCTCTGAAGATCTAGGCTCACAGGGAAAAAAACTCCACAGGGAAGAGAACTCCAAACAGCAACCCTTCCCCACTTGCAGTCAGCCCTTAAATGGGGATCTAGGAAAGGTGCAGCCAGGATCACACAGCTGAGTTGCCTTCACCTGTGCTCCCAGGGCTGACTCAGTCCTTTCCTCAGGTGATCAATCAGGAGTTCAGGCCCTGACTCAACAGTTCCCATACACCTAGGTTCATCTTTTGAAGATGTTCTTTGGATCCTTGATGAGAACTGATGAGCTAACAACTTAGTAGCAGTTTTGTGAGAAATCACTACCTGCTGGGAACTAAGTATTGCACGTTTTACTTTTTGTCTCTATGAGTTTTTTATGTGTGACAATTAAGTTTTATCTGAACACTTCGTGTGCTCATTTTGGACCGATACTGTTGGAAATCAGTCTATTGGAAGAAAGAATGTAGGCTCTGTGTTTCAATATACTGTTCTACTGTCTGGAGTCTGATGTGATAAAGGTTAACAGTTTCACTGTGGGTCACTGAAAGCTGGAATAATTTGAGAAGTTAATTTATATTGTACAGTTAAAAGTCATGATAAACCACACACACATACGTGAATGAATCTGGGATGGAGGGCATTGGCTTCAAAACCCACAAACTGACAGTCACCATATCATGTTCTCTATCCTTCCTTTGAAGCAGCCACAATGAGGTAACTCACTCTGTACGAACAAGCCTACTATACTGGCATGTTACACAGTTTAGGAAAGTCCTTTGTCCTATTAAAAAAGTCATGGCACACTGTCACCTTGCTAAGCCAATCAGGACAAAACTCTAGGAGTACTGTTAGTCAAGGGAAGCACTCTGACTTTAGATGTTGTCTTTAAGATACAACATGATGTGTCTAATGATGTTAAAATTATGATTTAATTCATTTCCACAAACTTTACTGATGGAACACTTACCCACTGTGGCTGAAGCTGATGACAGGAGAGACTTGCCCCAGGAACCCCAAGCTTCCCATCTACTTGCTTTAGATGAATCTGCGGCCTGTAAAACAGATAAATTACTCTACTGACTAAAAATCATGTGATGCCTTCTGAAGAATGATTCATTATAGTCAGAATATACGGAGGAATAGCCCAGAATGACTACTTGACAAAACCTTTGCCACTAGTTCCTCTAACAGAAGCTTAAGCTTTTGTGCAAAGTAGTCCATGAGTAAGGGTATGGTTTAACAACACTGAGGGCTGTTGTTGTTCTCATTTCACCTATTCTTCCCCACAGGAGCAAACTGAGATCATCGAGCTGACTCTGACACATCTATCAATGGTGGCACTGCTCCTTTGGCTATTTCAAAATGCACCTATTCCTAAAAGCACATAAAACTCCATAGATGTCTTTAATATATCCTGACTAGATGATCTTGTAGGTCCTTTCCAATATCGTGATTCTTTAATTCTAATGTACTAATATTTCTTCAGGCACCTAATCTTATGAAGCCATACAGATTTATTATGGTTATTCTCTGGAATAGGCAGGAACTCACCCTCTTCCTGAGTTCTACAGGAAGCCAGAGCTAGAGGCTTCTCTGCCTGAGTCTCCTTACAGGTAAATGTGCATATGGAATTTCTCACAACTGTGTTCAATCAAAACAGAGCCATAAGAGGCACTGAATGCTTTTTCCATTAATGTGTGGGAGTGAGTAGTTATCAGTATTCCACGTTTAAATCATACTAAGGAACTGGTGTCTGAGTCACAATTAACGTATCACCTCTGCACAGTTAACTCAAAACCAAAAAGATGAAGTATCCTGGGATACTTCAACTCTGCACTGTGCAGTGCATACATCCATCACCTCTTTGAGGCAGGTCTCTGTCCCTAGTGGAAGGACTAAACCAATGTATTTTAACCTTTTCCAATTTGTGGATGCCTGAAAGTCTTCCAGAGACAGGAACATCTTTAACTGTATCATGTGCATTGAACACATAGACTATAAAAAAAAAAAAAAAAGCTCTTTTTTTTTTTTTTCTTTTTAATGAACTTCTTGCCTTTGCTCACAGTAGCCCCAGAGGTTTGAGGATCACAAATCAAAAACCACTGGCTTGGAACAAAGAAAGTCATTTCACTCGCTTTCACTGAGTCTTGTGAAAGATACTTTATTTTTGTGAAGTCAGTGAAAATGAGAAAGCACGAGACTTAGTGCTGCAAATGCAGCTTCAATTCTGTTCTCTTCAAGTTTTGTTCTGTGAACTGAACAAAGCAGATATGTACAGGAAACCAGATAATAAAATCATAGGAGTACTACAGCTATATAGAATGGACTAGGTTCTTATTAAGACTCTGGCATAGTTTTATTGCGACCAAGCTAGCAAGATCAAATTAATATCATACCAGCAAAGAGAGATTCAGCTGTTCCTGGCTCCTAAAAGCCAATGATGGAGTCTAACTGATTCTATCCTCGTGAAGGTTCTTGTAAAGAACAGTATCAGTGTTTCACAAAATTCAGTTCTCACAGAGCAAGAGGAGGAGGGCTTTTATGGAAGAAAGCATTACTCACTGAACTACTTTGTTCAGGCAGTGTTTCTTCAGGCTCAGGTTCTGTATCAAGGCTTACAGTCTCAATGCACTCAGTGGGCATGTCTTCAGTCACCTCTCCACTGGAAGACAGACTTTCAGCTATTTCTTCAGTCAAAGGATTTTCATTAATAAATACATCTCCCTTCTGTCCATTACTGGCACTCTGAGTGGCCTGTCCCTGCTCATCTTGTGAGGACACAGGCAGGATCTCAGATTCCACAGGGAGCAGTACTGATTCCTGAGGCAATACATCACTGCTGGGCATTTCCATTACTTCAGGTTTTTCTTCAGATGGGGTGCCATCACATAAATCTTCAGACATTTTCAATTCTGAACAGAGAAAACAAGTCAGTGTTTTCACACTCTACAAACAGGTGGACAACCATAAAATATGTAGTTCTTCCCAAAAGCTACTGCTGAAAAACAGTGTAGCCTACATGTATGTATGGAGCCCTGTGATACACGTGTCACACCGGCCCTGACTACTTTTACCATGCAGGACTGCATTCAAGTACAAAGAGCAGCACTATTAATTTGTGTTTCAAAAGACTGGTTGATGATGGAGAAAGGATGTTTGTCTGGAGAGGTCAACTATGAGAGCTTCCACATAGTTAATTTCAATGATTTTTATTAGAGATAGAAGAAATGCCAACAGTTAATGGGATAATCTGAGCTGAAATGGCTCTGGAACACAATGGTCAAGCAGCTCTTACTCTCAGTTTCATCACTTCCACTTGTACAGGTTCCTACAGTCTGCTGATTGATGGTGAGGAGGATGACAAGAAGCTGAAAAAAGCACAGTGTGATTAAAGATGTGGTAATGTTTATGTATTGGAGAAGGGAAATAATTTGAACACATGACAGGCCATGGTCCCTGCAGCCATTTCATACACAGGAAGCATTCATTGCTCACACAGTCTGTATTTCTTGTCTCAAAGGCTTACTGCCTGGGGAGTGCAATGCTTCTCACCTGTTCTAAAATGTCATGTATTAAGAATTAATTAAACAGAATTAAGCTGTGTGATTAAACTTCAACTCTGAAGCCAATGTAAGTTTGCATGAGGTACAGTTACTGTTGTTTTTTGTTTTTCTAAGTTTAAAACTGATTTTCCCTTATTTACTCTGCATCTTTCAACACAATTTTCACTTTAAAGTATTTTCCACAATGCTGTCATCTGTAGATCAAAGATCCAGGCACTGAGCAAGTCCTACAGCTGACTAAGGAGAGGCAGTGGCAGAGTCCAAAAGCCCTGTGAAGTGATTGCCACTATTTACTTGTGGACAACAACAGCCTGGCAGTGTACTTGAAAAACAAACCTTGACAGAGAGCTGTTATTGCAAGGTCTTGTCTACACACAGAGTTGTATGGCACAAAATGAACTCAGGCAATCTGTCTGGAGATGCTATATTTTTCACTGACTCCCATTCAAATTAACACAGTCCAAAGTACCTCTCTGAAGGACTGAGGTTCTAGAAGGGACTGAAGAATAGGAAAATAAGGTGAAAAGTGGAATATGACAGGGATTTATAAGTCTGCCTGACAAGCATGTATTTATATTAGTGGAACTTATTAAAAGCTGTGGAATCATGCACATCTGTGGCCTTAGCATCCCGTTTATCTAATTTGGATGTAGATCAGCTGTTTGAACAGCACCAAGAATAGCATTTGGGATCAGTGTACTGGAGTCATAAATAAATAAGCAGTAGATGCCACTTACATTACTTCAGCTTACACTGGAACTTATTTTATCTTTAGAAAATGTGCATTTACACATCGGTATCTTTACACTTGCTAAAAGCATTTGCAGTTTTCCATTAAGATATTGCAAATACTATTAAAACGCTTCAATGTAGGCAACCATGGCTGTAGTTTAACACTACTCACTCCGTGATGTGTGAGACCTAACAAATACGTTTCTATCTGCATCACCTAGGACGGCCCTCCACTAAAACCAGTAAAACCTTTAGACACTTGTATCGTAGTTCTGTATGGGATGGATGTGGACAGCAAACGCCCAACGGCAGCGCGATATGTAAGGGATCACACGCATTTTTGCCGGAGTAGCTCAACTTAGGGGGCCGCTGTGGCCAAGGGCCCTGCAGTTCTCCGCCCAGATGAGGGGAGCAGAGCAGACTGCCGAACTTCCCGAAGCACGGAGCAGCGCCTCGGCAATCCGTCACCCGCCGGACCCCCGCACGAAGCGCGGCGGCACAGCTCCGCCCTCCCGCCCGACGGCCGCTGCCGCTTCGCCCTCCGCGGGACCCGGCCCCGCTGCCACCTGCCCGGCGCAAAGCGGGAAGAACAGCCGCTCCCTCAAACCCGCAGCTTCCCCTTTTCTTCTTTCTCTTCTCTTGCTTAAACCCTCCGGGCCTGAGCTATCGGTCAGCAGCCCGCAGCCGGTTTCAAAAGCGGCAGCAAGAAAAGCGCGCACCGCCGCGCCGCTTACCGCTCCGCAGTCCGTCGCGGCGCAGCCCCGGCTCCGTCCCCGCCCCGCCACGTCGGCAGCAGCGGGGGAAGGAGGGAGCGCCGGCGGGGCACGGCGGGATGGCCGGGCTGGGCCGCGCCGAGGGCGGGCTCTGCAGCCGCTCTCCCGCCGTCCCTCCGAGGCGGCCGTCTGTAGCGGAGGGGCCGCCGCGACGTGCCGGCTGCTGGACGGGTGCGCTGCGCTGCGCTGTGCCGTCCCGCCGCGGCCGCCACGACCCCCAGGGGGCCGACAGGGAGAGTGCGGCAGCGCCGGGGCGGTAAAGCATGCTGAAGTGTTGCGAGCACCACCGAGTGCAGCCACTGGGCTGCGATCCGTCTGTTTATTTACTTGTTCACAGAAAGTTTGATCCTTCTGATCCTTCCTCAAAACAAAGCTGATGGAAGTGAGTGGTCGCAGTGTTGAACAACGGCGGTTTCGCTTTCAGGTGCCCCTTGGCACCCCGGCCGTGGCCGTTACAGGAAAAGCAGCCGAGCCGCTCGGAGGCGTGCCCGCAAACTTCCAGCAGTGCCCCTCACGGCTTTTCCTCTTTTATTTTCCTGCTTCCTCTTAGGGCAAAGCACGCCTTTTCGCTGAGATCAGTAGTTCTAGGGTTCATTGTAGCATCGCTTCTGCCGCCAGGCTTCCTTTGCTGAATAAAATTATTCGCTGTTGCTCCAGGAAGCGTAATAACACATCCTATGAATCACTGAGGAGAGCTGCTGTGGGAGGCCACAAAACAAACACGATTTCTCAGTGCTTCACAGATAGGGGTAGAGCTGCGTGACCGACGCCCTTACCGAGCAGATCTCTGAAGCTTTCCGTGAAAGGTGGGTGACAGCAGGACAAACGCCTGTATCGCTAAGTCACGCACTGATTTCTGAGGAGTTTCAGTGAGACTACAAGTATCAGGGCGTGCTGGGCGTTCTGGCACCTTTCATGTTAATGCAGTAGATGTATTCATTCCGAACTCTGAAGTAATCCTGAGGATTTGCCCCTGCTTTTTAATGGTACCTGTGGACGAGTAAAGTGTTGTCTTAAGAAGAATTCTAATGGATGAAGCTCGGCAGCTGGAGATGGCTTTTTCCCCATCGTGTACTGTGATTTGGACTATGAACGGATCTTAAAGTGTAGGTTTGCAGATTCTGTATAAGTCCACACACGTTTTAGAAATGAAAGACGGTATTAACGAATAGAAAGTTTTTTGTTAAGAATGAATTAACATTATAAATGTATGTGTATGCCTGTGGGCTAGAAGGCTGTGTTAGTTTCTTGAACTGCTAACTGACTTGTTTGAATTTAGCACTCGTGTTTTACAGTAAGTTTTCTTTTTCTTTCACTTGTCGGCAATGAATTTCACTTGTATTTTTTTCTCTGCAGTGATGTCGCAAATGGTTTTTGGATCAAATACGGGAAAGAAGCAATAGGGATGGAACCTCTCTCCTCCACCTTGGATTTCACTGAAGTTTGTTATCTCTCTAAGTTGAGTGGTGTCGCCTTCTAAAAGAGTCCTTGATAGGTTTCAGAGAAAAATCACAGAATCATAGAGATTGGGAAGGATCTCTGAAAAATACTTGCCTTTTAGTGAATATAGAAGTTCAGAGAAAAGATGGAAGGATACAACTTCATTGTGTGACTTAATCTGATTACATTTATCAAGGCACAGAAGTATGCATAACATTCGGGCAATGTATTCATCTTCTTCTAGTGATTGCACAAGAGTGGTAAGTATGAGAGCTAATGGCATGTAATTTATAGTAGAATGCTTATTTTGCTGTTTAATGTATGCTTAAACCTATCTTTGTAGAATGTATGCATAGCTGGAGATCTCAGACTATGCCAGTGGCCAGCATGCTCATCTGTAACAGGCCCTAATTTATGGAACAGTTTTTACATCTTAACTGAATATAACGTCTGATTCTGTACTCACTGGAGTGATATGTTTGCATGTTCAGTTTGTTGAACTGTAACATTCCAAAACAGGAGTGAATGTTTGGTACAACTGAAGCCTTTTAAGATTATACCTTTTCAGATAGGAGCAGGCAGTAGCATGGCTTATAAGTAACAATATCACGAAGTGTCACTTGTAAATCAGATTTGAGTACTCTTGTCTGTAATCAGCAGTTACAGAGAAAGAGCTGAGGAGTTCCACCACAAGGCTTATCAGCACGAGAATGAGAGTATGAATTTTTTGTATTCTGCTGTGTGCTCTTGGTCCTATCTTTCCCTTTCTTTTCTGGATTACTTCTTTTCACTTGAAGCTGAGAAAGGAACAATGGCATATAGAATATGCTGTAAAATGAAAAAGTAATATTAAAAACGATTTCCTTTGCTTACTGAATCACTGACATGCTAAAATGTTCGTGCACTGTGGTATGCTAAGCCAAAAAGGAAGATGAGTTCCTCGGTAGTTAAACCATATTTAGACCTTCCTAGGATGGAATTTCTGACTAACGTTACATGGAAATACAGAGGGGCTGGTTTATGTCTTTGCCAGGACAATAACACAAGTGCTTGGGCATTCAGTACTCAAGTTGTTCCTCTGTTTTAATTAAAAAGTTCCATGTCCACTATTTAACCCAGTTACAACAGTGCTGGAATGGGAGAGAGATTCTTCTTTTACCATTAAGTGGGAATTAAAATAAGGCAAATAATGCTTTGATAATAACTTGTCAACTAAATAAGTAGAGCTAAGTGAAAAAATATAATACAGTATAATACAAAGGCCTTGATTGTTATTAAGAGAGGGAGATGTTTGAATTCTGGTGTAAAACTTGCTCAAAAGAAGTACCTACTTTTGTATTAATATGATGAAGAAAGAAAATTGGTAAAAATACTGTGGGTTTTTTTTTTTTTTTTCCTTCTTACCCTATCACAAAGCATGAAAACACCCAGTCAAATAACAACTAAATAATGGGGAAATTATATTAATGTTGTATGTGAAAAAACATCTGGAGAAACTGAAATGTTATTTCTCAAAATGTCAATAGGTGGCACAAACAAGTTTTATAAAAAGTGTGGTTGTTTTTAAGTACTGTTACAGAAAAGCATAGAATTACAGGAAGTTTTCTCTTTGTCTTTTCCTGAACACCTTTTCTACTTTTTATGAGAGCAGGGATTTCAGGTAAGAAAGTTCTGTTTTTATTGGATTTATGCTTTTTCTAGTTAGCTGAACAGCATATTTTTATATTCTGCATCTTATTTGAAAATAGACCATGTTTTCCAGAAAAGTTTATTAGCAAATATGTGATATCCTATAAGCATATGGGTAAAAAATGAGAGTGAATGTTGTTTATGGTCAGTAAATTCTTTTTATATTTGTAAATTCTTTTTATATTTGTACCACGGTCATAGTGAAGGGGGTCACAGTGATATAACTGAAGTAGTTTTTTTACAGTTAAAATTAGGTCTAACTGATAGTAGTTTCATTGTTATGAAAGATACTTTTAATACTTGAGTTTTGTGTTATATTGATAACTTGTAAAGTGTATGTCTTTATACTTAATGATCGTAGCTTAATGCATTCTGTGTTATTTCTTACGTGGAAGTTAGGAGTTAGTCACTTTATACTGAGTTCTTATAGAACCAGCTCTTCAAACCCCAGTTTTGATCTCTCTTTAAACAACAGGATGGGTTGTCACTGTGAATATGATTTGCACAGTCTACTGAATTGCTTATCTGCATATATCTTGCAAGTGCTGTGTTTGGCTAGTTTAAAGATTTTAGGATACATTTTGAATGAAAAAAAGATGTTACTACAAAGTATGATTCTTCCATGCCACTCCCATTACTCCATTAGGAGTAATGTTCTCCAAACAGTCAAAAGAACAGACTAGACAATGGTGATCATTTTTTGTTCTCTGCACTTGCCCAAATGTGTTTTGAGGGCTAAGATGGTAAAATGGAATATAATTTTTCAAAAGGAAATTTGGAAAAAGGCTGGACAAGTTATGCTGTGCTGCCTTGTTATGTCTTGGCAGTTTCCAAGTCTAGTTTCAGGCATTCTTTACTAAAGGAGAAATTAGTGGACTGTCAGCTATTTAAGTGTTGAGATATCTTAATATAGGTTGTGTGATGTCAAGAAGAATGTGCACTGTAGACCCAGTAATGCAATTCTAAGAAAGCCTGTGGAATGGTTAATGGTACAGAGGTTATATTCCTCCAATGAATGGCAGCTATTACTGTCTCATTGTAGAGTCATTATGAGTTCTGTTTCAGTGTAGGTTTTGTAGACACAAGTATATGTTAAAAAATAATGTCTGCTGAGTCTGGTTAATATCCTTTAATAGAGAATCTGGGAAGAGGATGACCGTACTGACCTCAAATGTTGTACTTTCCTGTCAGAGTGTCCTGGAGTTGTGAGAAGACTATGTAGTACACTGTATGACAGCAGTAATTCCATAAGTAAGCAGGACAAATCTACACCTATGAAATCAGACATATTTTGAAAGAAGCAGACTTTTTATTAAACATGGCAGATCTTGCCAAATAGAAATTACAGTAGTCACTTAATAAAGAAAGTCCTTCTTGAGATCTAAGTCTCTTCATTGTTCTCTGAGTCAAAGGGAAAGATAGCAAATTGGAACCTTAAAAAAATCAATCTCTATGATACCTCTTGAATAGCTGCTTAATGATATAACCATTTTTGTTGTTGTTGTTGCAGGATTAGAACAAAGATGGATGTATAAGTATTGAGCATCTCCAAGGAGCCATAAAGCAGTATGGCAGAGAACATGAGATATCTCAGGAACTTTTTTATTTACAACTGTCTGTTTGCATTCACTTTTTGGAACAATATTGGCCTGGCTGTGAAAAATGAACTCTTTACATCTGTTCCTACCAATTTTCTACAAGATGATTTGGACAAAAAAATCTTGAGCCCTCCACCCCCAAATAATCAGCAGCTTAAAGCTAATTTTAGTTGGGTTGTGATAGAAAATACTACGGAAAGCCTATCATTGTCAGAAATCACAAATAACAATGTAAAGAAATTATTAACTTTATTATCTAATTTTAGAAAAGGCTCCAGGCTACAAAATCTGACACTGACAAATACATCAGTGAACTGGAAACTTTTTACTGAAGTACTTCAGACTGTATGGCACTCATCCATTGAATACTTCAGTATCAACAACTTAACACAACTGGGGGATGTCACAAGTTCTCGCTTCGACTATTCAGATACTTCCATGAAAGCACTTGCACTGAATAAGGTTTTAATCACAGATCTATACTTTTCACAGGATGACATTTATAACATATTTGCAAACATGAACATTGAAGCCTTGACAATAGCTGAATCTGAGTTAATTCACATGGTATGTCCTTCATCTGACAGTCCCTTTAGATATGTAAATTTCTCAAAGAATGATTTAACAGATCTGCTTTTTCAGAACTGTGACAAACTAATTCAACTGGAGACATTTATTTTGAATAGGAATAAATTTGAGAGCCTTTCCAAGGTGAGCTTCATGACCAGCCATATGAAATCACTGAGGTACCTGGACATGAGCAGCAACTTGCTGCGTAACAGTGGAGCTGAGAAGCGCTGCCAGTGGACCGATTCTCTGTCAGAGCTGGACCTGTCCTCCAACCAGCTGACAGAGTCCGTGTTTGAGTGCTTGCCCGTTAATATCAACAGACTGGACCTTCAAAACAACCAGATCGCCAGTGTCCCCAAGGGGATCGCCGAGCTGCAGTCCTTGAGGGAGCTGAACCTGGCATCCAACAGGCTGGCCGACCTGCCAGGGTGCAGGGCCTTTGCGGGCCTGGAGATCCTGAACATAGAGAGGAATTTGATCCTCACGCCAAGTGCCGACTTCTTCGAGAGCTGCCCGAGCGTGAAGGAGCTACAAGCTGGGCAAAACCCGTTCAAGTGTTCGTGTGAGCTGCAGGACTTCCTGCGCCTGGAAAGGCGGTCTGGGGGCAAGCTGTCCGGCTGGCCAGAGGCGTACGTGTGCAAGTACCCAGAGGAGTTGAGCGGAACGCAGCTGCAGGACTTCCACCTGACCGAGCTGGCCTGCAACACGACTCTGCTGCTCGTGACAGCTCTGCTGCTGACCCTGGTGCTGGTGGCTGTGGCGGCCTTTCTGTGCATCTACCTGGACGTGCCGTGGTACGTGCGGATGCTGTGGCAGTGGACGCAGACGAAGCGGAGAGCTTGGCACGACTGCCCCGAGGAGCGGGAAACCGTTCTGCAGTTCCACGCCTTCATTTCGTACAGCGAACGCGATTCGCTGTGGGTGAAGAACGAGCTGATCCCCAACCTGGAGAAGGGGGAGGGCTGCATCCAGCTGTGTCAGCACGAGAGGAACTTCATCCCTGGCAAAAGCATCGTGGAGAATATCATTAACTGCATTGAGAAGAGCTACAAGTCCATCTTTGTGCTGTCCCCCAACTTTGTGCAGAGCGAGTGGTGTCACTACGAGCTGTACTTTGCCCATCACAAGTTGTTTAGTGAGAACTCCAACAGTTTAATCCTGATCTTGCTGGAGCCGATCCCTCCATATGTTATCCCTGCGAGGTACCACAAGCTGAAGGCTCTCATGGCAAAGAGAACCTACCTGGAGTGGCCGAAGGAGAGGAGCAAGCATGCCCTTTTCTGGGCTAACCTGAGGGCAGCTATTAGCATCAATCTGTCAGTGCCTGTTGAACAGAATGGAACAGAAGAGTGAAGAAAGATATTAAAAGTCTTTATAGTGCAGTTTCTTCTTCTCCTTGAATTTTTTTTTTGTTTGTGAACCAATAAATACTTTATGATTTCCATTGATTTTCAATATATTTCACTTTATATTATAAACTCTTGTTTCTAAATAGTTGGTTATGCTTTGTCACTATATGAAACATGCAGCCCAGTTTACTACAACTCACTTGAAATGGGCAGAATGATAGATTTTGGATATGGATTTTGAAACCATTGTTGAAATATTGTAATGCTGGTTTTCTCAACAGAATGAAATCTTAAGCAATCATGTAGAAGAGTGCATTAATTGCTGGTGACTTAGGAGATTTACATTAATCACAAAGCTTAGACATCTTGGTCACAGGACTTCACATTAAAATTAATTTGCAAGGAGAAAAATTATGCCTCCTGCGAAGATGTCTAAAAGTTCAGCATTTGAGATATTGTTCCTGGGTGAAATTATTGTGAAAGATATTGTTCCAGACTGTGAAACTTATAGCATGGGACCCAGGTATAGGACTGTAAATATCTAGCACAAGAGGGCAGGCACGGCCGTGTCAGAAAAGAGGACTGGATGAGAAAAGAAGAGGGATTTTTTTCCTTAAAAAGAAAAGAAATGGATGAGCTACTTTTTCTTTTCATGTTTGCTGCCAAGAAGTAATAGTGAGTGGACATAGTTGTAATTCCCATGCTGTGATAGACTCCTGGTATCATCTTGATCTGAAGAGTTCTCTTGATGAAAGAAACTAAGAAAGTGTCACAAGAATTGCCTTCATTATCAATGGCTGCATCTTGAGAAACTCTTGACTTCTCTACCTCCTCCTTTTCTTTAGCTTTATACTTTTATTTTTTCCCATGCATGCATCTCATTTTAAGCTTATTATCAAAACAATGTGATCTCCTTCTATGATGAGATGTTCTGCGTAGTAGATGAGAGAAAGGCTGTGGATGTGATTTATGTGGATGTTAGTGAAGTGTTTGACACTGTTTCCCAGAGTATTCTGGGAGGTTAGCTGCTCATGGCTTGGACAGAAGCATGGTTTGCCGGGTGAAGATCTGGCTGATGACCAGGCTACAAGGGTCACAATGACTGGAGCTCATTCCATTTGGTGCCTGCTCACCAGTTGCATTCCCAGGGCTCAGTGTTGGGGCCAGTTTTGTTTCATGTTTTTGTCCATGATCTGGATGAGGGGATTGAATGTACCCTCAGTACGTTCACAGACTACACCGAGTTAGGCAGAACTGTGAAACTGCTCCATGCTAGGAAAGCTCTGTGGAGAGATCTGGACAGGCTGGATCGATAAGCTGAGTCCAATCTCTTGCCATTCAGCAAGACTCAGTGTACACAGAGACAAGTTAACATTCATCAGTTTAATAGAGAGGTACACACATTACTGGGGACAGCTGGACAGTTTGTCTTCACCAAGTTATCATTACCAGCTGTGGCTGACCGATATAGCCTCAAAATTAATACAACAAACTTATTACCAAATTGCAAGCATTTCATTCAGGAATGTGGAAAGAAATGTTTTCTGTGTATCCTCCATCCCTTCCAACTTGCGCTTCAGTGTATGACTCGTATAATCTTCAGGCTACTGAAGATGAACAGCCTTAGTATGATTTGTCCATTTCTTTTGCAGCTTCAGAAGCTTCAGAGTTTTAGTCAGCAGTCACTGAAACCAAGAACTCGGTTGGCTTCTTCTGTTGGCTGGAGGAGAGAAGGGAATATCCTTGGAAAGTGGCAGAATGCATTAGGAGTCCTAGGAGTCCTTCATGCTGCTTAGATGAGAGCACGCACCTGATGTTGGAAAACATATCTTTTAAGAGTGGAAGATTTTAGCTGGGGTTTGCTTACCGTTTTGCAAAAAACTTGTGAACTAAATTTATCTCTGGCAAGACAGCTGATGTGATTAAACCAAAATATATAATTACAGGTCTAATATATGTCCTATATCCTTGAGTGAATTATGTTGGAAAAGGAGGCTTGTGATAAGAGTGGAGAAATATTAAATCTGGTACTTTGAAATCAGAAGTTCTCATACTGTTATGGTCTTGTCCATGCTGTGTGCTAGATAACTGGCAAAACAGCTGCACATGCTGTGAATCGCTGCATCTAGTTTCTCAGATTCTGCAGGGGAGAAGATTTCTCTAGGGATATACCAGGATATTCCAAACAATTATTTTAGCCTGTGCCATACTCTGAACACTTTATATAAAGACAGTTACAGTCCAAGAAGAATATTTTCCCATGCGTAGGGCTATGTGTTGACCTCACATCCCATGTCACCCTCTCTGCTGGCACTAATATCTTTGCATTTGGGGAGCTAGCTGCCCTTTTCCATGCACACAGGTTATCTGTATTTGTGGCTGGTTTTACACAGAAAGCTGTAACTGCTAATGCACTCCACGTATCAGAAAAGGGTGTATGTAAATATATTCTGATGTCAGATACCATATCAGCAGATTCCTGGCATTTGGCTAGTCATCTCAGTGACTAGCGGGAATGCTATTTTATTTGTTGCTATTATTACAATAGTATCAACAGAGAGAACTGATAACATAGGAGTTCACCCTTCAAAACCCAGAAAACGTGCAGAATGAAGCAAATAAGATTTTACATATGTTTAAGTTGTATGTATAAAGCAAACCAAGCCATGACAGAATGGAAGTCAGGATGCACTTGGGGGCTGCCCTGCTGAGAGCTCAGCTATTTTTTATCTTAGAAACATTACTAAGCATCATCACCGAAGCTCAACTGCACCAAATGAGACCAAGGAAAATTGCTTGAGAGGGAGAAGGGGGATTCCATAGGATATGAGGCATTCTGCTGAAGGGAAGGTTTAAAGCCTACTCCAAAACCATGTTTTTACTCAGTGTTTCAGGTCAATACACTTTTTTTTCTTTCAGCAACCTTTACCAAGAGTTCCTGTAAAGATCATTTTCAGTCAGTCACTGCTTATTTGAGGGGAAGCAGTACTGATAAACCAGTAAGTGAGAAAGTTCTGTTTTCTGCAAGATGGATCTTTGTTATGGGGAACAGAGTTTGACTTCCATGCTTTGTTCCTTGTATCTGTCTATGTCCAAACAAAATAGGCTTGGGCATTAAATGCAGCAATATCACAGACTTGTGGTGGCATTAGCATTCAGTTTGCCTAAATGATACATAGGAGTAAGTTGTGACAATGAAAGAGCTGCTACTGAAGTTAAGGTCCTTGATATGACCAAACATCAACCTAGCTACTAACAACTTCTAAGAATTGTATTAACATTTAGTAAATGCTTGGATGAGTCCAATTGCTTTGGATATGTTTTAACTCAGTGTTTTGCACATGCAAGTTACCTTTAGCTGTTTCCATTGGAGAGATTTGTCAATCACTCAGGGACAGCACCAATCCTAAATAGCTTCTGAAATCCAGCTGAGTGTAGCTGCCGTTCCTCTCTAGTTTAGGAAATACAATATGTAGGCAGAAGTGTGAAATGCACCTTGAAGAAGATTGGTTAGGAGATTGCTCACTGGTAACATCAGTTACAAAAACAAAATTAAAAAAACACTCCAGAAAACAGCAGCAGCACAAACTTAAGAAATAGAATGAGATTTCTGTGTGAGTAAGGGTATGTTCAGGACAAAGGATAGTGTTTAGCTGCTGCATTCAAAATGCATGGACAGAAATACCCTGCTTTCCTTTCATATCATGCAAAATGACTTAATCAGTAAACAGAAACCACCCTCAAACAAAGCTTTCCTGAATGCATTAGGAAAAATAACATCAAGCGCTGCCCTTAAGGAATCAACAGAAGTAGTTAGGAGTGTTGGTTTTATTTTAACTCTTTCCAAACTTTTCTTTATGGTATAAATTTCTCTAAAGTACATTCAAAAACAGTTTTAAATGTACCTTAAAGTCTGATAAAGGAGGATGGAGAAGAAATTAAACATATTACAAATAATGATGTAGGTACCTTTAGCAGCTTTGTGTATACTGGAGTAAATTTTGAAGAAAGCTGACAATGTTTTTGTTTTTGTTTATACAGCAAAGATTTTTCAGTAATTATACTGGCAGGAAAACTGGCATTGGTTTGCAGAATTTTGTTCTTAATTTGATTATGATAATAATATTCTGTCAACACGAGCCTTAGTCTATTCATTTTCATTTTCATGTTTTTAATGTTCACCAATGGCAACTTCTCCTTTAAGATGAAGAAAAGACAATATCAGCTGACAATCAAACTCTTGCTGCTTATTGAGAAACACTCATGATCCCCAGTCTTGTCTGGGGAAACAGATGGCTCAGGGTGTTACCAGCAATGAGTTACTCAGATCCACTGTGCTGGGGAAAGCAGAATGCTTTACTGTCATCAGGTTTCAGCACAACAGTCCTTCTCACCAATCTTAAAAGGAAAGATAAATTCTTCCAGCAAAGCAAAAAGGTTATATTCTTCTTTACAAAACTGAAAAGGTAATTGTAAAAGAGAAGTTTTGAAGGATTCTACTGCAAACTTCAAGTATATCTGGCACCAGTTGTTAGAATAAATTTTCATACTTGTCAGCTTTTTTCAGCTGAACGCCTTCTTGCATTTAAATCTCCTTCAAGGTGCTGTTTTATTGTGGGGAGTAAGCTCTAAACTGAGTCCAGAATCAGCCAGGATGCTCCGGTTTGCTTGTACATGAAGAATTCATTACATACTTCATGAATTTAATCTTAAAATCATTAAGATTAAATGAATCTTCATTTATTTTACTCAGCTTCTTTCTTCCTTGCTAATTAATCTTACTGAAGCATGTTAAATTAGTTTGGAGGCTCATGGGAATTGTGTGTTTTCAGTTATTCTGACTGTGAAGTGCACTGATTCTGCTCTGTTGATTTGCTCACTAGGCTCTCTTACCCCTATTCAAACCTTTAATTGGATGATTGCTCTATTGGATTTCTCCATCACTCGATTGCCCTCTATTGCTTTATTCTTCATGACTGTCCTACAGCTTTCATGTCATATAGTATTGGCAGGTTTTTTTTGTTTGTTTTTGTTTTTACAGTACTTTTGAATTAAAGTACAACGTGGGGTTTCCCTGATTTAAACACCTATGCCATATCTAATGTAAAGGTGACTGACCTGTAGAAGTTTTAAACTGTGTTAGTTTACCCCGAAATACTTTTTGAGATCTAAGCTAATAAGTCTGCTAATGCAACAATACTTCATGTGCCTGCTGAGGGAAATAACTCAGAGGGGTAGAGTGCTGCCAAAGGTTTTGATATGAAGTGCAGTGGTCTGTAAAAGTTCTGCTTCCTCTTTTCTGTGCATGCAAAAGAGGAGATGCAGTTGTGCACTGTGTAACCAACAGAAATGGACCACATTAAAAATGCAGAAATATTTACATAACCTTACTTTGGAGAACAGCAGAAAGGCTTATTTCCTCCTAAACCATACAGATAATTAAATGTTGCAGAAGCAAAAGTACTTTGAGTTTGGATTGATAAAAATTTCCTTTCATTATGCTTTTAATACCTGCATTGCAGGGAAATTTTATTATTACTTAAGCATTATGCAGCCTCTACATAAAAACCTGTTCTTCCTATTTCCCAGCATAGCAGTCAAGGGACAAGCATCTTGTGTGAGATTCTTCAGCTTGAAGATTACATATGTTTGAAAACCTGTTTTGAGGTTGTTAACTGAGCATGCAGTAGTCGTTTGCTGGCTCTTCACTCAGAGATAAATTCAATCCATAAAAGGTGGGTGATATTCTCTGCTTTGTTTACTTTTTTTCTTTTGTTATATGTCTTCCGATATCTACCAGATCTCAGGTGCTCGTGCTTCTTCCTGCCTTTTGAAATTTCAGTGAAAATGCTCAATTTCATCTTGAATTTCAACATAGAAGAAAGAAAAAAAATGGTATGGCAATTTTCTTTCTCAACAAATTCTAATTCAATAGCATTCTTTAATAGTGTTGGATGGGTTACTGCTGATCTTAATATTTTTCCATCAGACAAATCTGCTTTATTCTTTATGTTTGGCACACTTCGGGGTTATACTGTGTGGGCTGTCCTTTTTTGCAGTGTATAGAAATACACTGTAAATTTAAACTCATCTACTAGCAGAGCATGGACCAGAGGATGTTTTCCTTTTTTTCCTCTCTTCAGAAAAATATCTTGCTTTGTTCCTTACTCAGCATCTCCCCAAAGTTTCTGTGATTTGAGAAGTTTTTTGCCAACCTGGACTCTGACACACAAGGTCAGCTACCCTTTGAAGAAATCTGGGTCCTTGTCTTGGTTCTTCTTGTAAGTTATATTGTACATTGGCCAACAAGTTCAGCTTCATTTAAGATCTGTTCTGTGGTCAGATACCCTAGCACAGCTTTCCGAAGACTGAATTTGGCTTCTCAATTGGATTTTACATGGATTTTGTAGAGGTAGCTTTACACTTTAATGATTCATTATTTTAGTGCTCCTGGTGAAGTTAATTACATGTATTTTGGCTTTAGTTTTCTGAAAGAAAATTTGATGAAGCTTTGCAGGAGACTCAAAAGGGAAGGAATGACTTTTGATATCAGGCAAACAAAATTATTAGCGACTAACACCTAGAACTAAAAATAAAAGAATGAACATGTAGTTTTTATTAATAAAAGATTTCCTAATTGCCTAGGGAAATAATTTAAAAGCCTTTTTTTCCCCAAATAAAACTACTGGAGGAAAAAAAGACCAACAGACACTTTCCCTCCTGAAAGAGTTTCAGTCATTCATACTTCCGGGTGTCTGCGTGTTGCATCTGTGTTTTCTGTGTCATCCTGTCTTGACACAAGAGTAATGCCCAGTGCATATTTTTTCATAATATGACCAATGCGTTTCCATCTTTGTAGACTGCTGATAGGCTTGACCATTTATTCATTCCACTGGACCGTTTTCCATAGCCACAAAAATTTTCCTCCCTGGATGTTTGATCTTTAGAACTAGAATCATTGTCCCTCATCATTTCTACAGAGGCTCTCTGTTTAGTTGTCAACTATGGGATAATTTGAAAAATGTAGGAATTTCTTAGAACACTCTGAAATCTTGGAATCTTCTGAAGTTTCGTGGGTTTTTTTTGTTTTGTTTTTTTGTTTTTTTTTTTTAATATAGTGTAACACTTCTTTATAGGGAGTTTTCAGGTATGCTGTAACTTTCCTGTTAGTATGCTTTCAGATACACTGGCATTACCATATTCACATAAGTTACAGTAAAATTCCTCAAGCTTCTCAGCTTACTGGAAAAAAAAAGACACCTATATATTTGTGTTTCATTGGAGTGTTTCATTGAGGGTTTGCATGGCCATATCCTAGCTCTCTGGAATGTGAAGAATATCCTTTAGCTCTTTTGAGTAAAGATGTCTCTTTTGCACTGGTTCCTGTGAGTCAGTGGGACTTTTGAAGGTTTTCCCCAAGTGTGTCTGGACATGGAGTATAGGGAAAAAGCACATGGGAGGCTTGCTGTGTTCTCCTTTACTCCCAAATATATTACAATATCATAGAATCCTTAGAATTGGAGGGGACCTTTAAAGGATATGTAGTCCAACTCTCCATATTGATATCTATTTGTATCATTTCTGAAGATAATTGAGAAATTCTTTAACAACTCCGCATTTTTCAAACATACCACCAATAGTTCTCCTATCATTATATAAAAATTTGTCTCTACTTAACTCAGAAAATCAATAACTGGAATTTTTGATGTTTTTTGGTAATGTCTTAGAGAAAGTATGCAGAAATATATTTTAATTATGTAATTTTTGTACTGTATTTTATTTTAGTTGAATTTACTGTTTATTACAATTCAACAAATTCAGGAAAATCTATGTGTTTTCTTCTCATAGGTTGGACTTCTTACTGAGGCATATTGAACGGAGAACATATATATGCTTTTGTGTTTCTCTGAAGAACCAAGAAAATTCTGAGACATATAATGGGATCTCTTACAAGTATCTATGTCTTTGCTTGTGCGTTTTTATCCATAGTTTGGAATAATATCCAGTCAACTGTGGAAAATAAAATTACTGCAAACTATTCAGGAAATCTACTAACTAAAGTTCCAAAAAACATTCCAGCCCATACTCACGTATTAGATTTATCACATAATAGGATCTCTGAAATTACTAACTTGGAATTTATTTCTCTTCCTGACCTTCAAGTATTAAACCTTTCTCATAATCTAATTACAGAGCTTGACTTCAGTGTCTTCATATTTAATCAAGATTTAGAATACTTAGATTTATCTCACAATAACATTCGGACAACATACTGTCAAATGCTTGCACGTCTTAGACATTTAGATCTTTCTTTCAACAAGTTCATTGTCTTGCCAATCTGTCAGGAATTTGGGATCATGTTTCATCTGGAATACCTAGGATTAAGTGCCATGATGATACGAAGATCAGACTTCAGATACGTGACACATTTGCAGCTGAACACTGTCCTCCTAACCTTAGAAGACTTTTCTCTGTATGAGCCTCTGAGTTTGACAGCTTTAAATACAAGGAACCTTCACATTGTTTTTGCAGCAGACCAAAACTTCAATTTTTCTCTCTTATATGACGGAATGAGCACTTCAGAGAAGTTAAAAATATTTAACTTAAGATACACCTTGAGCCACAGAGATTTTCCCTCCCCTTCTTTAGAGCTTCTGAAGAACATCAAAGCAACAGATCTCATGCTTGAAGCTGTGGACTTGGAATGGACAGTCATTCTGCAAATTTTTCTGTTAGTTTGGGATTCAACTGTGGAGCGCTTAACTGTGAGAAATTTGATTTTTCGGGGACCAGTGGTGGAGCAGACTGAATATAAATTTCTATCCCATTTAAGACCTCTGGAACGATTTCTCCCTTTGGGTGGCTCCATGAAAGCACTGACTTTGGAGAGAGTTCGAAATAAGGTGTATTATTTCAACCAGGAGATTTTGTACAGATTCTTTTCAGAGATGAATATTGATAGTTTGACAATATATGATGCATGTATGCCACACATGCTTTGCCCCAAAACAACAAGCTCATTTCAGTATATAAATTTTTCCCGCAATGCCCTGACGGATGAATTGTTCCAGAATTGTGACACTCTGGCAAATTTGAAATTACTTATTTTGAATAGGAATAAATTTAAGAGCCTTTCCAAGGTGAGCTTCATGACCAGCCATATGAAAT